CAAAAACGCACCGCGCTTATATAAATGGGCGGAACAGCAGAATTCAAATCTACAGATTCAAGTTGATTAAATTCTGGTCCTTATAGACATGATGAGTGGCTAAAGATGAGGAAACGGCTGGGTAAATTCTGGTTCTTTGCTCGAATGCGAGTTTTCATCATGATAGCGGCCTAAGACTCTTAGGTTCTATACAAGTTAATGTGCCAGCGTTCTATTTAGTCCATCTACGCAAAGTTTGAGGCAGAATAGCAGCAATACTTCATTATCACGTTATCATTATCACGTTAAGAGTTCTGTTCCTGATCGGAATAACCAGGGTCATTGAAAAATGCGAGTGCAGTTGGCGACTCATCCATACTCCCATCAATTTTCTCCCCACAATTTTCCATGGCAAAAAATTTCTAACCATTTACAAGCCAACTAGAAAATTTTTCACATTTTTATGAAACCAGAGTTGATGTGAATTATTTTCATTTTTTAGTTTTAAAAATTTCATAAACTTTGAATTTTCAAGCGTCGAATTTCCATTTTATAGTTTATGTGGAAAATCGGCTGGTGTGCTCCTTTGACTGACACCAAGCCATCACAGGTTCGATTTCTATTCCTTAATAGTAATCTGTCATTGAAAATGAAATTTGGGTGATGTTGGAGGCTCACCTTATTTATTGTTTCAATAAGATTATATGATGAAGGGGTATCATCCTGACAGCTAGTGATGCCAGTCAAGCAGAAATAGAGAATGCTGTTTTTTTTCTAGCGCTCATCATTTCTCATTATACAATGGTTTGGTCAGATAATTTGGAGTTATCTGGCAATAAGTGCAGATGGGTTTTATTCTATGTGGAGAAGCCCAGACGCTTCGAACATTCACTGAGCCATTCTACCATTCCTTAGAATTTATTTATATAAATATGAACGTTTCAGTAATGAAAGTGTACGAACAAATATCATAAAACTAACAAGGCAGTTCGGTGATGCTGGCGACCCTTCTATATTTCCATCTCCAAGGGACTGTCTGGCATATTTGTCCAATGCGATAGACCAGCAGAGCGAGTTTAACCAGAAGACTCTTAAAAAAAAAAATAAGACAGTTGAAAATTTATAATACGAGGATCCTACAATTTTTTTTCGCGAACTAAGCAAATAAACGAATGAGTGAATATAAAATAAGGTAATGGTTTCCAGTTTCCTTTCTGTCTCGCTTGAACTCCTTGGAATGTAGATCATTGTCTATGCGTATATTACACATTGTTTTTTAAGTAATTACCATTTTTGATTCGGTTGGCTGCACGAATCGCGATGCTAATACTTTTCGGTGCAAAATCGCTATAGAAAGAGAGGTGCATCGCCAGCACCATCCGGACTTCCAGCGGCAAGTTTACTCTAAGGGACAAAAATCTAATCTATGATGTTTGACTTTAACTGAAGCGACTTAGCACTCGTACTTCCTTTACTATTAATGCAGTGTTTTGACGCATAATTCAAAAATATCAAATAAATTTAATTTGGAAAGTTTGTTTCAAGTACATTAAATATTTCACTAAAGAATTCACTAAAGATTTTTTTCAATTCATATTGAAAATTCAAGTCAACTGTGAGATTTGGGCAGCTGCAAGCAATATCATCTTAGACTTATTGCAGCTGCAAGCAGCGTCACCGTTATTTACGAAATAATAAGGGAAACATCACTTAATAGCTGAAATGTATCTTTTAAAATTTTTAAAGGAGTGGGAAGAGAAAAAGAAAAGATGGGGCAGAACTCGAACCTTAGATCCGATTTATTCGTTATATTTTCTTGAGTACTTGTGCTATTTTCTTTTTTTTTGAACCGTAGCTAGGACCAGCTTTAGGTCCAGAACTTTGGAGTGGATTGCTTAGAACGGTTAAATCTTTGATTCTTTTCGATTATCTGATCTGTAATCAAATGGTGGTCGCTATAGATTTTGCTTTTTCGTTAGATAATTCCGTTATTGATTCTTCTTTTTCATCCATATCTTTTCTCGTTCTTTTCCAATTCTTTATCAATAAATGTAGATCACTGTGGGCATTGAGAAGAAGCAAATCTAGTATTCTAAATTAGTCGCAGCTTAATTGAAATGGAATGGATTTTGCTTGAAGTTCGTTATATAAAAATGTTGTTTTCAAAATTTCAAAATTTGTTTCAAAATTTTTTATAACTGAAATGAGATTTCGAAATTAAATGTTCTGCATAAATTACTTTTAATTACTATTACTTTTTTAACAAAATTTTAATACTTGAATTGTGATTTTACAGTAAAGTGAGTGGTTATCGCTCATCATTTCTGGCTCGCTATTAGAACGGTTAGAAATTTTTGCCAGGAAGCTATTTGGTTAGAAAAAGGTGGGTTTCTTATACCATCCGGATTTTTTTAGAGAAGCTTATTCCTGTTAGGAGCAGAAGTCAAACCCTTGCCTCTTGACAAGATAATTTTATTTACTATACAGTCGGCTGCTCCTTTACACAAAAATTTATTTTAATGGGTTAAGGATTTTGATGTATGTTTAAATTTTTTTTATTTTAAATTTTAAATTTAAATTTTAAATTTTATTTTTTAAATTTTTTTAAAATTTTTTATTTATTCGTTTTCCACAAGGAAGCATAAAAGGAAAATAATATTTATCTATGGGAGAGAATATAATAAAATTTCTCCAAAACAATTTTATATTTAATGAAATTTAATGGTGGTCATTTCCTTCCGATTTCTTATTTTGTACTGAGTCATTACACTTAGATTATCATTTAAAAATCATGATTCGGCGCATGACTCGACCTCGATAGAGTAAAAGGTGCTGTGCGAGTGGTGCTGAGAACCCACCTCATTCCTATCTTCCCGGTTAGTTATTCCTTTTCATTAGAATAGTCAATGGAGTGGCTAGCGCTTGCAAAGAGAAGAAAAAGAAATAATCGCATTTTCAGACTGGAATGAAATATATTATATTAAACTGAACGAAAATGTTTTGAACTGATTGATGGCTAAAACGGCAGTTATATTAGTTACAAGAACAGAACGAGTCATTTGGAATATTTCCGATTCAGATTCTTTCAGTAACCCAAATATTAAAAATATATAGCAAAATAGGTAAATAAGTAATTAGAAATTTTCCCCACTTAGTCTATGCAGTTAACGATAGAAATAAAGATGAGTGGTGAGCAACACGAGGAATTTTTCTTGACAAGTTAGCTCCTATCGAGAGCTGCATGGTTAGTTATTCTGAATCACTATCCACTCGGCGACACTCGTCACCACCAGCAAGATGGATCATCGTTTTTTACTGATAAAATTCCTTTCTTTAGCGTTAGACAATGTTTATGATTTTAAATAAGTTCACTAAAATAGTTCAAACAGTTCATTTGCTTACAGCAAAGCATTAAAATTTGCTTGCAGTTTTGAGATTTGCTTTATTGATGGTTATTTACTGCAGTAAGTTGACACAAAGGCTTGAAATCTATTGCTGGTCCTATGTTACTTATTTCGAAGAAAAATATATAAACAAGAAGAGAACTGAAAAAGTGGAAAAAATAGATTTTCTGAAATGAGCAGTAGAAATTGATGTGAAAGAGAAGCAAAGCAATTTAGATGGAAGGAAAAGCTTTTCTCAGCTTGGATTTTTATAGGAATCAACCGAAAGGAAAATCGATGGGACAGCAACAATCTTCGTTTGTCGTTGAAATTGCTTCACCACGTTACGCAAATTTTCAGGTAATATCTCCCTTAAAAATAATTTCTTCAAGCATAATCTCTTAATAAATAATTGAATATTTAAGGAAAATCATTTGAAATGATTTTCAAATATTTTAAAAGCACAAAGCTCATATTTTATAATATATCGATAAAAATTATGCAAAGTTATTGAGTCGAAATTATCAAATGAAAGAAATAAGTTAACCGAGTGATTATTGCTTAAATTATCGTCTCGAGCGATTCTTGCCCTTTCTCTAAATGGATTAAATTTAATTCCTTCTCAATTCCTTTTCTTAAAGAATTGTCTAATTTAATGGTCATCTTATTTATACTCATATACTGCATCTCTATTTTATTCAAAATTAAGCATGACATATGACTGATTTACGTTACATTATTACTTATCACTCCAAACAATAAGAGAGCATTGATTACTACATTAATTAGTTAATTTGTAACTTTAAAAATAAAAATAAATGAAAAAAAGAAAAATTAAATAAAAAGAAAAAATAAACAGGAGGCCTAATGATAAATTAATCGAAATAATTACGAGTCTCGTAATTATTTCTATTTATTTTATTTTTATTTAATATTTAATATTTATTTTTATTTTACCAATTGTAAAATAAAATTCACTCGATATGTTGGAATTATAGTTTGTGAATATAATAAATCTATTAAATCTATTTTTTAAGATGAAAACAGAGGGAATACAAAAAAGTGATTATTAGGCAATTTATTCCAATAGTTGAAAAAGAAAATGCGACATTTTAGACTTGCAAATAGATTTGCGTAATTTCAATCCATTGGCCCTCGTTGCAATGAATAGGTCGTAATATTTTGCAGTTGTTTAAATTATTATATCCATATAAAATCTTTTAAGTAAAAATTGGATTTTGCTCGATTCTTCTCAGAGAATTAAGAAAGAGAATTTTTATTATAAGCAGTTAAATATTTATCACTAAGAGTCCAACAAAATATTGTAAGCGAATACTAAAAACTTAAATTTCTAAAAATAGTTTACACTAGAAATGTTTCCTTGTTAGTGTTCGCAAAATGTTAAAGAATATGAAATTAGCTATTTTAGAAATAAATTCTTATTTTTACAAGTTTTTATAATTTAAATAAATAAATTCTCATTTAATTGAAATATAAGATGGGAAATTTCGAGTAAATTTATCATTTTTTCTGTATATATCCCTTCATTTATAAATCATATCAAACTGAATATTTTTTCATCATCGTTGACTCATTTATAAGTGGTCAGCGCTGATAATTTCTGGATTGCTTCATTTGTTGTCCATACGATGGGAAATTTTTCCTAGGAAGTCACCTACGAATAGGAATACAAGTGGGTCATCCGAAGAAGTGTAGCCAAATCGTTTTGGCAAGTAAACATCAATAATAAAATCGTGAATTTAAAAGGTATTCCATTATTAAAAGCAAAATTTGTGGAATAATTTTTTGGGCTATTTCCTGGTTAAATTGATCGTTACAATCAATTATTTGCTTTCATCCTAAATGTTTCTATTTCGCAGAGCGTTCCACAGAAAGATCCCGACGAAGAAGAACATCTTTCACAATGGAGGATTACTGTTAACCCATCAGCTAATTTTCTTTCTCAAAGTGACGAACTTAGGAGTCTTATAAATAGGCTTTCTCGAAGTCAAGTAATTATGCTTGTTTTTTTTTTTATTTCGTTCCTTTATTTCCTTCCTTTATCGATTAAGTTTGCATTGTTACCGGGATTTTAGTTCATAAGATTTCCCTTTCAAAGTTTTGGTTCCATTTAACTACTATATGTATTCTACTATATGTTTCCCATTGTATTTTCATGATATCTTTAGTTTCTGGCAATTAAATAATTTTAGTATATCTCTACTATCTCGTTTTTTCTTGGTTTTATCTACTATCACACGTAAAGAAACTAAAGGAATCAAAGCCTTTTATTTTTATTTATTATTTATAAATTATTATTTCGGAAATTTTTTATCTAATATCTTTTGGAAAGTGAAAAAATTCCAGAAATTGGTTTCACCATCAGAAGCTCGGTATTTATGTGCTGGTTTGCAGTTTCTTGACACAACTTCCGACTTACTTTTGCCTCTTTTTACGGTGATTTCAAATTCAACAGCTTTTCCAGCTAATCAAGTACAATTTACAACTTTAAATTTCAAATTTTTTTTACAGATATTGAATTTATAAAAAAGGTTTAACAAATTATTTGTTATAAGCAGTAATTATATAAATAATAATGAAGACCATTTGTGTGATTGGAAAAAAATTTTTTTTTAGAGAATATTTTTGCAATGTGGCATCACTGAAAGAATCGTTTCGATGTTGAAAAACTCGCATGCAGCTTTACCAAAATCATCTAAGGTAGGTTATTGTTAATTAAGGTGCTATTTACTCAGCCTGGGATTCTCCTTACATTTCTACCAATGGGCTCCATGAATCTGCAAATTTTGTGAACATTTTATATTGAACCGTTGAACCTTTCATTATTATTATTATTTTTATTATCGCTGATTTATAATATCTTTGAAAAATCCATTGAATTTTTCGTTTGAATGATAAAATAGCAAATTGATTGATTAATACTCATGATATTCAGGTAATGCTGCTACAGTGTGTAGCAAATATGGCTGTTCATAATGAAAATGACAGTATCTTAAAACCAGCTATACCATTTATTATAAAAAGACTCGATTCAGAAGTTGATCTTGAAGGCACAGTGGCTTTTCAAGCTTTAACAAATCTTTCATTGAATATTGCTCCATCACAGATTGAAATCTTCCGACCAACGATTCAAATTTGCTTAAAAAAGTATAAATTCCTAAAAAATTTTGTTAAATTTTTAGTCATTACGATTTATTTAAGACAAATAAAATTCTTTGGACTTCAATCCATATTAACAGCCTTCATTTCTTTTTCTATTGGCACTTCCTACTTCTAGTTTGGCTGATTCCATAGATTCTTTAACCTCCGACCAGAGACTCCGAAATTTGATGGAGTACTTATGGATAGAAGTGTGGTGACCACCATCGAAATTCGAACATCGAGTTTTAGTGCTAGGCTTAATCTAATCAAGGATCAAACCCATAATTTTAACCGAAGGAAAATACCATTCGACCATTTTATCCATGGTTTTTATTATATAACAATTAGACAGGACTATTATCTGGTGAATCTAACCTTGGTCCTTTACAAATATCATTTTTAATTATGTTATATTTCCATGCGAATAAATTTTGCGGAACAATTAGAAATAAATAATTTACAGTTTACTTATTGTATAAACTCTGATTAAAATGGTTTGTTTTTAAATATTCACATAAAGTGCGAATTTATTTATAAAATGTTTTATGTTATGTAAATTAACAGGTTATGGATAAAAGGAGAAGTAAATTTGAGTGCTCTTAGATTGTTGGTAAATTTATCGTGCTGCCCTAATATGGTGCCATATGTACTTGCTGCTAAAGTAAGTTGTTTTAGTATTTTTCTTGACGAAATTTTTGATTTTCAAATAATTTTTATTTTTTTAAAATTTTAAATCCATGCACAATTAAATTGTACATCAATTTGAAAGAGAAAACTTTTATTTATAGTAAATATTGAGAATATATTGAATACACTTAGCAATTATATCACCGATAGTGGTGAAATGCCATAGCCGGTCTTTTGTAAATAAGTAATTATTATTAAATAAGTAACATTTAATAAAACCACTTATCATAATTTAACCTTGGCTCATAAACGAATTATAGTCGGATTATTAATAATGCTTATTGTCTTAAATATTCTTTACTAAATCTATCGTAAATGATTGTAATTCACCTATATAAATGATAAGATGAATTTATTTCTTCTTGTTCCATGAAATGAAATTCGTTATTACCATTAATTTGATTAACACGATAATAAAAATTTGATTTTTAATCGGTAACGGGTTTACTGTCGATTCTTGATAGCGACAAACCTGAAGTCGTTTTACGAGGAGTAACATGGCTATTATGTTTGTCATCAGCTGTAGATGCCTTGTCGATAACCTATGACCTAATAGCACCATTGAATCAAGATCCTTTCGCCAATCCTAACTATACTATCTATTTCACTATATATGCTTTAAAGGTTAGTTTTCGATCTATAGTTTTCTTTTCTTCAGTAATTTATCAGTTGATTTTTTTGAAGCAGATTTTTCATTGAAAATTTGTCATTATGCAAGTAAATAAGTAGTTTGCACTCACCCATTTCTGGTTAGACTCGTTCCATTGGCTATAGTGAAAAATATCAAAAAGCTTGGCGAGAGAAGATGAGAGAGAAGTTGAGCGGTACCACCAAGATCTTTCAATGACTTATGGGGGTTAAGGAGATTAGGTGTGAATGAGGGTATTAGGGATGGCAAAACTGCTCGGATATCATAGTTCGATATCTATATCTGAAATATCTCAGATATCTGAAAATCTAGTGGATTCAATATGATTTTAAATTCTTTGAATAATAATTATTAATTGTAGGGTCGAAAAGAATTAGAAAAGAGGCTTCTCGAGTTATCACGAAGAAAGGACGAAGCAGCCACAAAATCTAACTGTCTATTAGAAATTCTTGCCCGAATACCTGTGGCTTTTTCATCTAATTCGAATTTAAACCATTTATAATTGAGTGATTTTTAAATTTTTTCATCATTCTCTCCTTGAATTTTTAAAATTGAAATGAGTCCCCAGTACCACCAGATTCCACTCTTAAATGGCGAGTTTATTCCCAGCGAAACGAAGAGAATAAGATTATGAAATCGGAGTCAAATCGACGACCATCCTGCTCCTTATTATTAGAAATATTATATTAGATACATAGATATTTTTAAAAAAGCTCCATAAGGGCAAGCAAAAAAAAATCTTGCAGTTTTCAAACCTTGGCATATCTCGAAAACGTTTCCTCAGAACTCATATTTTTTTAACATTTCTTCTGTTGATGCTATACAATGGATTAGAATGGCGACTTAGTGATTCGGAATAGTTCATTTACGATAATTTACCAATGGCATGTTACAAAAGTTAATTTAAAACGGTTTTACAATATAAAATTTCGCTTCAAGCCTTTAGTTTAATTGTAAAATTTCTTTTTTTTCTAAAAAATTTAATCCAAACATCAAAATTTCTTCAACTCTTATTATAAACATTATAAAATATTTAAGGAATTGAACGAGGCTTCATGATATTTTAAAGAAATATAGCGGATTTTCGACGAGTGTATAATAGGCTCTGAGGAAATTATTAAGGATTTTGAAAGAATTGAAAGGAGAAGAAAAGAATTAAGAGGATATTTCTAATTAACAGATTGGGATAAGCTTAGGAACGAAATGGAGCGCATGCTTGAGAGGAATAACAGGACACATAGGGCAAAAGACTCTGCAGGAAATTTCTTTTGCAAACTACCCTGTCGCATCAAATTTTTATAATAATTTAAAATTTATATGAAAATTTATTTTCTTTCTCAACCTCTTGTGGGTAGTAATGGTCATCCTTAATCTCCAATCCCCTATCAGAGGCCTGGAAGATTGAAAGTTGTGTGCAGTGTCTTAGCTGTTCCTAATAGTGCGCTCTTCTGGATAGAAATTTCTAACTTTATTTCTGGAATCTGTTAAAGCAACTTTTCTAGTTTAGGGATCACAGCTCCAAGTGCTTCAAATATCACTTGAAACTTCTTGAAATACTTCGGCCCTTAATTTTCACATATTCTCTCCTTTTTCAGCCCTTGGTATTTCTCTAACTTTTCATATTCCTTCATCCTGACGTACATATACATTTATATATATATATCAATTCATATTATATTATATTATATTATATTATATTATATTATATTATATTATATTATATTATATTATATTATATTATATTATATTTATTAAAGTTTAAAAAGTCTAGACAAACGACAATTGAAAATTTCGCTGTAAGGTAGTATATCTATCTGAAAAATAATTTATCTGATTAGCTAGAAAATGATTTATTGACGATAAAAATTTATGGACTAAAATGAGATTTAAAAATAGATCGTACAATAATAACGATTTATTTATAAATGAAGACACCATAAGGTAGTATAGTTAAATGATTGCATGATTTCCATGTGACACGCTTCTGGAAACATACGATAATAAGTTAATACTTCCAGGCCAGAATTCATCCAATATATCATCGCAGTTAAAATTAGTAAATGCCACCACTGATGACTGCAGCCAATAACATCAAATTTACCTGGAATTTTGCGATAATTTTTAGGTATCGATGCTTATAATATCACTTTTATTAATAAATTTAACCGATATTTATTTTCCATAAATAAATAAGTGGTTAGAGTTCACCATTTCTAATTAGGCTAACTCTTCTGGCCATCAATATGATTAGAAATTTTTCACCGAGGAGTCACTTGGAAGCACAGGCAGATCGCCATATGGATTTTTTAATGATAGGTTATTTCGAGGAAAGGATCCACAACCTTGCCTCTTAATACGACAATCTGAGTCACATTATCCCACTTGCCTATCCTAAAGTATCACAGAACACTAATATTTGGAAAAAAAATGTTTTATTTGCTTCGAAGTTAGAATACTATAAAGAAAAATGAACCAGGTGAGAAACGTTCGGGAATCATCGAAGCATAAAATACAAAAGCTAACATAGCCAAGATGTAGAGAATGAATAACCTTGGTAATAATTTCTGCAATTAATTTTTCGTCTTTTACATTCATATTTTTTATTAAACAATTTATTAAGTACTTGCAAATTTCTAATTTTGGAAAAAATTTTCATTCTTAAAATACAACAATTTCAATTATCATGAATTATCATGAATACTAACCATAACTGCATCAGTATGCAACCCACCATTTAACATTATCCAGTGTACTGCGGGTACTATACTAAATATAGCAACACTTGTATACCATATATGAAGATACCCTATACAACAAGCTCCATTCAATTTAGAGTCAATTATGTTTTCTTTTAGAGGCAAAGATGCTGTAAATGCTGACAGAATTCCTATGAGAATGAAATAATTCGTTTGCCATTCCTAAAATAGTTAATAAAATCAAAGATTGATAATAACAGCTAATTCCTAGAAATCATTTTTGAAATATGCCATTAAAAAAATTTATTGGAGATTTGAAATTTTACCAAAATAATTCGATAGGTTCTATTAGTGAAATATAATAACTATTTTCTATTTTCTGGATTAACCGCTTTGTCGATTGTAACGATTGTAACGTATTTTGTGGGAGAAATATAATATTTAAATTCCCTTAAGTCTCATCAAAAATCATTTCACAATGCTAATTATAAAAACATGTACTATAGCAATTAAAAAGTCAGATTATTCTTTGACGGCTGTTTTTAAGAATTAAAAAAATTCAGTTTAAAATTATATCGATCTTTATCAATGCCAACAATTGCAAAAATGGTTCAAAAATGGTTTAAATGGTTTAAATGGTTGAAAATTTTCTTCTAGCATTTTTTCCATTAAAGCTTAAAGATCGTTCTAGTAATCCTGCGATTTCTTGAGAAAAATTATAATTTATAATAATGCAATTCAAACAAACCTGAAAGCAAATAAAAGCAGTATAAATTCCGATCAGATATATACTAATCAAGCCAGCTGATATACCAAACATGTCAAATCGTAGAAGAACACGTCGTTGTGATATATTTGCAGCTCCAAATATATGATATGATACTGATAATAACATACACAACTAGGTAGAATAAACTTATTATTTCAAACTTATGCACATAATACAACATCATTTATATAATAGTAATATTTTTAGCTTTTTTGTGAACGAAAAAATATTAACGAATTGACATATTGAAATATAAATATATTTAAATATTTTTCCATTTCATTTGAATACCCCTAAATTTCCAAAAAGAATTTTTTCAGTGAAAAAAAACAAAAAAAAAATTTCTTTTTGACCAATAAGTGGAATTTCTTATCTATATATTTAAAATATATTTTAATGTAATATTTTAATATTCAGATTTAATATTTAATATTTAGATGGATTCTAATTACTTGTTTGTAATTATAATTTTGCTTTGCTAATGAAAACCTAAAAATATATTTATCAGGCCTCTAGTAAAATTACCTGAACGCCAAATATACATAAATTGATGGTTAAATAATCAGAAAAATGTGCATCAAAACGAGGTAAAACTTCAAAAATCGCATGATATTGAAGCCAAGCAAAATATAGGAAACCTAATAAATGAGACCAAATATTTATCGTTTCATTGTTCCATTGAAGTACACTGAAATTAGATGAAGTGTTCCTGAGAAATCTGAGAAAATCTGAAGCTTTCTTTTTTGCTCTTAAATTTGTTTTATCAAAAATTTGTTTTTTAGAGATGCACAAATAAGCTGATTAAAATAGATTGCTATTAAGGATCTGAAATAAGATAGCAAATATCACTGTCAGAAACATTCATCGATGTAAATGAGTTATCGATATAATATATAAAATCTGATTAGAGCAGCAATCATCGAGCTTATAAATGAAGAGTTTGGAAGCATCTTTTCTTGTAACCAGATAAACCAGTAATTAAACCAGAAATGGTGCGCGACGAGAAGAAAGGAAGTTCGCGAAATTTATCAAAAGATTTTCTAAAAATCAAGGAATAAACCGCCAAAAATAATTCCTTTCCTTATTCTTCTAACATCTCTCGCACCATTAGATTAGGTTAGTTCCACTGCTACAATGATAAGAAATTTCATATGAACTCTTCACCATACAGTTAATGTTATTTAAGAATGGAGACATAAGTTGATCACCAAAAATTCAAATTTAAATTTATTTCGATCAAGTGAAAAGAGGGAAAAAAATTAATACATTATTAAATTGTGATTGTTATTACTTTCTTATGCCATCATCTACCTCAGACACGATTCTCTACGATAAAATAGTTATTGTTTCAGTGAAATTTCCTGTATTTCCCATGCAACTTATTTCAGGCTTACAAAATTCTTGCAATTATTCCAATGATCTATTGAATTTTAAAGTTCGAAACGCATGAAAAATTTTTTCGTGACCTAATAATTTAAATAATTTATTTAAAGTTAATTTAAATAGTAGAAAAATTAATTTACATATAGAGCTAATTTCATAAAATCATTGCTTATAGAATTCATATTTGCTATTTTTTGGTACTAAAAAGTTTTCGTTAGAAGCCCTTTGATATCATTTTTATTCATTCAACATGCTATAAACATTATTTCTATCGCGAGCCGAATTTCTTTTTTTATGATAAAATTTATTCATATCCTATTCATATTCATATTCATATTCAAACATATCCGAGGAGAGGAATTGGACGCATGATGTCTGAACTCATTATTTCTTTTTTAAATCTATGAGCATGTATAAATCAGATGCGTTCAAAGAATTCAAACTAGGCCAAACCAACTTTATCGGAATGAAAAGAAAATAAAGGAATTGGTGCAAACTGTTGTTCTCTTAATTATTTATTATTATTTTTTCTATTTTTTCTATTATTTCTTTACATGCAGTAGTTTTTCGATCAGCTTAGTGAAAATTTGTTAGAAATATTAATTTTCAATTTTCAATTTATGGGAAAAGAAAAACATAAAAAAACCTTTTGATATAGTGAAAATTTGATAAATCGGGCGGTCTATATCCACTAAAGATAAATTTATTTAACCATAAATATGGGTCAATTTCCGATTTGTTTAATAGTCGTCGATTTTCCTTGGTTTCATTACTCATCTTTAAATCAGTAATTAACATTTAAAGATAATTTTTTAAAATTGCGATTGCAGAAAAAATTTAGAAAATTTAGGAAAAGTAAATATTGCATAAACGAAAATCGATGGAAGAGAAAACAAAAATTCTGATTATATCGTAAAAAGATGATTGATAATCACCGCAAGAGATTTCTCAAAACATTTGCACAAGTGCAATCCTAAAAAATCCCAAAATATGCGATTTCGATTTTTTCGTGGCGAATTTGCGAGAACAAAGAACGATTACCTATTAGCTAATTTTATTATATTTATAATAAAATTTAATTTATCTAATTATCTAATTTAATTTTAATGCATTTTTAAAATTAATCCTTTACATTCATGAAAAACAATTTTCATCATAAAAAATAAGTCAGTTGTGTTAATTTTTCTGCCAACTTTTTTAAAATTGCTAATTGCTAATTATATTAGATTTTTATTCTTACTGCTTACTGGTTAATAAATTAAAAATTGAAAATCATTGAAAATCAAAAATGGACGGTAAAGAAGGCTCACTCGGCACTTTTAAATGATTCTCTCCTTCCAGCTAAAATGCCTCATTCTATGAAAATAAAGTTAGAAATGATGAACGCCATAAGATTATTACTTTCAAAAAAATTTTTTTGAAAGATGCTGATGATAGAATTTGAAAATTCGAGATTGAATTCGCAGTTATTCTAGAAAATTATCGAAAGAGTTAAAAAAATTGCATAAAAAATTAAAATACCAAATTTTATTCACGGATTTAATTTGTTTAAAAATGCCTATAATAGCGATGAAATTACTCGTATTCAACAATCATATTATATTTAATTGGTTTACGATAATTTATCTGTAAACCTAAGCCTAAATCGTGAAACAAATCGAGTTCTCTTCCTTTATTTATTGATATTTTATTTATAAATTAATATTTAATTTATTGTTAACAAAATAAAATAAATATAATTTGAATTCGAAGAATTACTCAGAATTTCTTTAATATTTTGGTATCTATTCGAAAAACATTTCTCTAAATCCTTGGTTTTAGATCATCAATTTGCAATTTTCTTCAAAAGCTGGTAAATGTTTCCTTTCGATTCAATTCGAAATATTTAAATTCAACTTAAATTGAATAAGGGCATCGAGTTTAGCGAAACACAGTGAAAGAGACGATTTCTTCGATCCTTTTTGTTCAAGTATTTTTGCATTATTTCTAAAAAAAAATTGCTTAAAAATAAACCAAATTTAATTTTAATCATAAACATAAAATAAAAAATCTAAAAACATCGAAAATGAATAATAAGATAGTGGTAAATGAAAAGGGAAAATGAATTTAACGATGAATTACAATGAATTCACCAGTTAACTGACTATTGTTGTTGTAATCAACGATCGAAGGAATATAAGTTGGAAAGATATAATGTTAGATCGAGGATAGATAGGATAGGCAAGATAGAGTGTAAGACAAATCGTTCGTAATTCGTCTATTTTTATTAATAAATGAACTGAATGAAAGATCTTTTAAAAATTTTCAGGACCCGTTTGATTGAGGATACTCAAATTTTTCATAGTTATTCCTCCACAAAATTTTTTTCCCTCTTAAAAAGATTTCTATACAAATAAATAAGCAATAAATAAATAAAACTGAATAAAATAAAGATTTTTGAATCATTTTTATCCATTCACTTTCCATTATGTCAAAAGGAAACTCATATGAAAGTCTAATCAACTACATCCGATAGTTTTTATTGAAGAGCCTTTTAAGGAAGAAAAATTGAAATACGTTGATAGCAAAAAGCTTCGAAAAATATCTGATATGGTACAGGGTAGGGAGTCAAAAATGATTGGATTGCACTAGCCATTAGGATAAGGTTCCTCTGCCAGAGAGACAGAAGCACAGCCAGTTTGTGGTGCAATCCGGATTTCATTTCAAATAACAGGTTTATTCTTGTTAAGAAACACGATGGCATGGCGCTGCTCGAAGAAACGCACCACTCGACCATGATGCCCACTAAATACTAAGGATCGTTAACAAGCTTTAATCGTAAAAAATCATTCAATGTGGTTCGAATGATGGATGGAAGCAAGAGAAATAGTCGATGGATATAAATAATTAAATTAATTTAGATATTGAATGATTTTCTAAAATTTCATTTCCTCTTCTCATAATAAATTTCCTCTTCTCATAATAAATAATTCGAACATATAGGAATGTTTTTGATCAATTCTATCTTTTGTTGCGGCGAGAGATTTTCTATCATCGCAAATTATGTTCGTTGCGCTCATTTTCTCATAATTTTTATCAGAATAAAGAAATTTTTCGCAAAAAAACCATCTTTTCGTTTGTGTATGCTAATTAAATAAAGTAAAAGAAGAAAAAAGTAAAAAATTAAGTAATTAACCGTTTTCAGCTAAGATAACTGCGTTGGCTGGTTTTAGTGCGACGAAAAATTTCTCAGCGAATCACTCGGATAGAAATAAACGCGGACCATCTGCAGCACTTTTTTAATGGCAAATTTACTCCTTACTCCTCAACACAACTCTAAACCACTGCGTTTTTTTTTGAGATTTTCACCATTATCGGTTAAATTCGCTCCGCTGGCTTGTCGCATTGGACAAATATGCCAGAATCCCTTGGCGGGATAAATACAGGTGAGTCGCCAGCATCATCTAGGTTTTTATACAGGTTTACTCCTGCAGAGAATCGAACCTCCGCATTGGCGCTCCCAACTGAGCAATAACCCACTGAGCCATTCTATCCCCAACAATATTGACCATGTCTGTTCTTAATCTCTCTTCGCTTCAAATTCCTCGGCAGTAACTTACCTCATTCATTTTATATTGGCAATTTCATTATTTAATCAGTCAAAAAGTTTAGCTAATTTAGGTGTGGAACTGGTAAATTGTTATACACAACCTTTTTCAAAAGGATTAACGAACAAAAATGCAACAAATATTTTGTAACCTTGGTACTTTTAAATAGGAAGGATCATCTAGCAAGATCCCACCACTTATTAACGATATTCTCGGTGTTCCACTAATAACGATTCCATGTCTTTGCTGTTCTTCTATTTTGTAATGAAACCAAACTTTTGCGAGTATCATTAAATTCATCCAAAAACTTTTATTTATACAAATAATTAATGAAATTTTATCACAAGAAAAAAAGGAAATTTAAAGAGCAAAGACCAGCATAACTTAAGATTTTTTCTGATTCTATCAACTTTTAATAGCCTTAATGGTATAAGATGAAAATAACATTATCTGCAATACTAAAAATCATTGTAGGAAAAATGCAAAAATAAAAAAAGAAATTGAACAACAACAATAAACTGAATAAATTGAAATGTGCAATAAATGCTAAACCATAAGGAGCCAAAATATTGGTAAAAGAAACATAGAAATTAGAAACCAATATAATAAACAACCAATCACTCATTTTCGATAAAAATAATTTTCTGATAAAATTTGAATATGAGGAACCTTCTTTACTTTTCATAAATAATGATAAATAATAATCAGCTAAAAAAAGAAAAATAACTGATAAGTCAAATACGTTCAAAAACACGCTGCAATGTTTTGAAGCTATCGATCAACTGGGATTTTTCGGGATTTATAAATGAATGAGGCGATTCGAGTTCTAATAAAAACATGGCTATTAAATCCAAACATTTGCTTGCCAGTGATTTCCTACAAAATTTTTGCTTATATTTCAAACAAATAAGATATTCTCTACTTTTAATTTTTGTCATTCCTCGCCTTTGAAGTAAACCTGTCATGAAATATAAAATGCGGATGGCTGTTGGCGATTCACTTGTACTTCCATCGATAAATGATTTTGTGGTGAAAAGGTCTGATGACTACGATTCGCATTCTTTTTCGAGCAATTATTAAATTGACTCGGGAAAGAGATACTGGCATTATCATTATGGCTTCGTATGATCTAAGCTCGATTTAAGAAATTCTACAATGTCTCGATCGCCAGTGTGTATGCTCCCACCCTATGTGATAAGAACAGGTTCCATACATTTACACTAATAATAGCATCTCTCCCGAAAGATGATGTGGTTATAGTTAGGGGAGATCGAAATGCATAAATCACAATGCTGGCACAATGGTCTCAATGGTTGGTCTCAATGGCATTCAAATATAGTGCCGAGATCCGGTGCACTAAAAAGAAGTGCCTTTTTTGCACTCCTTTTTTGCTACCATTATATGCTTTTGGCATTGGAAAAGAATCACATGAAACTCCTCAACATTCCAGTGAGATTGATTATTCTGGTCAATCGTAGCTGGAAGTTCAGTGAAGTTCTTACCCACCGCTGAAATTGGAACCTTCATGATTCCTGTGGTTCAAGCCTTCATAAAGCTGGCAACTCGCAGGAAACAGGCCTTCCCAAGACCTTTTAACCTTTTCAAGCTAAAAAATTCCTAGCAAGTGCATGTCACTAAATATCAAAGACCTCTAGGATGACCGATAAATATGTGTCTAGATTTGCCTCCGAAAGTCGGCGAAATCCACCCTAGAATATGCTATTCGCCAGCTGAATATCGGAAACAACCACGAGCTCACCAAAAACGTTCCTATAGCATTCATTTCAGTATATCCTAGCTACTGGATGCTTTTAAGTCATGTAATGGCACGATGATAGGAACCGTTAAGATTTTTAAGATATGGCATTGCAAATGGAGATAGTCATTCGAATAGGCGATAATAGGAAATTTTCTCCTTGTGCGTAGAGGAAATTCTTTGAAACTAAAAACATTTATAATAATAGATATAAATGAAATTTTCGCCGAACCATATGTTTGCATTAGGAGCAAGAAATAAATGTAACATATATATATATATATATATATACTAGACAATGTATCTACGTTATTCAGAAGATTTTTGTTTTTGGATGACGTCTTCAAATGGCCCAAAATCCTTCCTTCTTAATTAACTTTAACGAGTGTACTCTCTACTATAAAAGAAAAGAAAACAGATGATGCCAAATGAAGCAACCCGCAAGAATGGTGATAAAAAGTATTGTGACAACTGTCGAAGAATTTGCCTACTAGATATTCTCTCTTGTTCCCTTTCTACTGAATACTCTTATGACAACACGAAACATCAGTACCCTAATGAAACTGGAATAAGGCCTGGGCGCGAGTATACTAACCACATTCAGAGTACTGGAACATCGTCTCATTTTGTTGTCAATTGTTTTATTGATTCAATTCAATTGATAAAACAACGCTCTGAAACCTGATGGAGTACGACAGTGCTTCGGAAATCTGACAAAATCACTTGTCGGCCTTAAGATATGTACAAGTCAACCCATTTCGCTGAAAATTATGAAAAAATGCTAGATAATATATCGCCAACTGCAAAAATCGAGCTCAGGATCAGGATTAAATAAGAAGAAAGCCTTTTCACCTTACATACCAGATACATACCTGATAAAAACCTATTTTTACCAATTCAGCACCAATTGAAGAAGAAAATTTTGAATACCTTGGATCCACTTTCAGATCAGATGGTCAGCGAAAAACGAGACTGTAACCACATCTACAATTGCAATATTTCATCTGTCAAAATCTCTATGGAACCGCCGAGAAATTACCATCAAAACGAAAGATCCTATCGTGGATACCATCTTATGGATGAAGTAAGTGAAAATGGAGGATATCAACAAGGCTATCTACCTTTGACCACTTTAAGACACATTTTATATGGTCATCGAGCGGATGAAATCTCATATAAGTGATCTCATATAAGTGTCTCATATAAGTGTATCTGCTTTCGTTCAAATATCTTCTGTATTAACAATACAGTGACGGAGTACGTTGTTGAAATTATATTATCCGCCACAATGAAGAATATCTCATTACCAAGCTTGCGATGGCAAAAGCGAGAAGTAATGAAGACCTGAAGTCAAAAGAGATATTTTTTTTACCACATCTTTTAATATTAATAGATCATTTTGAACATATATCCAGCGATATAAGATGGCAAAAAGAGTGATCCCTGGTAATCTCTTGTTAATCTCAGAAATAATATTAGGTCGAAAGGCTTGAAAAAGTCTTAACCAACCTAGAGGAAACTGTTAAAAAAAGGATAATTTGAAGTATTTTATGTGTAATTTTAAAAAAATCTATAGCGAAAAATAATAAAAAATATTCACAGCGAAATTTACCTGCGATCTATAGTATAACTATGGCTTTTTGACGCAAATCTGTTGAGAACACATAAGGCTGAATTCATTATAAGACGAAGAGCAGATTGATTATTTCGCCAAAAGGGATCTTTTCTGAAAAAAATACCAATGAACATCATCGGAAAGATTAGACAGAAAGAATATCGAAATAATTAACTGCTAAAAGAAACTACCTGTACATCGAAGAATAAACATCGATTATAAGATTTATAGGAGCTGAGATCGAATTTGCTACAGTATCAACAAATACTGCGGGAAATTTCTCACGTATACTGATAGCTAATACTCTCGATAGGACAGTTTCTGAATAATCAGATTATTTTTTTTTTTAATAGGTCATCAAACAAAATATATTTTTGGCAAGAATTTATCAAGAATAATAAAAACTGATAATAAGAATTGATAAAGATTACGCAATACTCAATTATACAATCACCATATTTTCTATATAGAAACTTCCCCTGAATCTGAAATATTCATGTTTACTTTTCATGCCATAAAAAAAAAATTTTTGAATTTTTTTCCATTAAATAGTAATAGAAATATAGAAGAAGATGGATGAAATAGAATTCTCTTGGACTGATCTTGAAACGTTTGGATCTTTTGGCGTTTGAAACTTGAGATCTTGTGTTGCCATGTTGGACTACACCTTTTCTTCTAGCTACTGCAGGAAATTTCGATCTCGACTGATTATTCGTAAAAGATCAGAGGTGATAGTTTGACAGAAATTGAGCCTCATAATAATTTATTTTAATCCCCAACATAATTACAATAGCATTTTTCTGCTAAAAATGTTAGGTTTAGCGGTTGTCCTTATCCGCAGATAACCACTGAAATTTATAACTAGAATTATCGTAGAAAAGCTTGAGCCGAAATTCTTTATAAAACTCACGAGTAAAACACAATGCGTTCCGTATGGTGTTAATTACTTAAACAATTTTCACTAATAATTAAAATTTTCTCCAATAATTATTCATGAACATAGCCAGCAACATCCATTCAAAAATGCAGCTGATCGTTGAACCGCGTTTCTTCGGCGAATTGATATGCAACACAAACATTAGCCTTATGTGAGATTGTTTGCATGACATGCCATAATATTTTTTTTTAATGGCAATTTCATCCAATTTTCCAGATTAGCCTTGATCAGAGGAGCAAATATCCATCAAAACTCGAAGATCTACGAGATATTTGAGGATAAATTGAAATTACTACTTTTAAATTCGAAAATCATCTTTGCCGTTTCTTCAACCACTGTTACTTGTTGTTGCATTATTTATTCGGTGAAACGTGGTCAAGCAAATGTCACAAATATTTTTCAGAATGTATTCCAAATAAAAAAAAAATGGTACTTAGATCAGTATTATCTACTTTTTAATGAAAATTACTTCACTGGAATTCGCCTCAGCAAAACAATATTTTTGAGAAAATCTATTACTTTTCAATTAATAAACTATAAAATTAATAAACTATAAAGATAAATTATTAGATATTGCTATGAAAATTCACTGATTATTTCCGCTAATTAATAAACAAAACCTAACAAATTCATTTAAACCTAGTGAAAACACCAGTTAAAATGGAACATACATTAAAAATAAATGAATGGTTAATAATATAGAAATATAATAATAATATAATAGTATAATAATATATATAATATAATAATACAATGTAAAAAAAAAGAAATAAGAAAATCTCAAAATTTTCTTATTTTTTAACATAAAAACCATTACCGATAGGAAAATACTTTGGTACACTTGAATATTTGTGAAGAAAAGTAGCCAGACGTGCACCAAGTTGTTCTGCAATTATTTGCGCAGAATCACGCCTACATAGTTCTAGTTCTGCAAGAGAAAAACCATCTATACTTAATTATGCTGATGCAAATGCTAAATTTAAGTTCATTTCTATATAGAAATAAAAAATAAGAAAAAAAGAAAAAAAATTCCGTTATATCTGATAAAATTATACCTGATAATCCACTTGACTGAAATAATAAATGAAAAAAGAAAAAATAAAGCAATATTCTTTCAATATTTACGTTAAAAACTTAAGAGGCGATTTACCTCTATCGACGATTTCACAACAAAATTCTTTAATCACATCCTCATCATAAGTTCCGGAACAATAACATAAAGCAAGTTTGATATCAGGAAGATTTAAAGGAACGGCGAAATTTTCAAACAATTCCTGCACGGTGTATAGTTTTTGATTAATACATTGCAATGCTTGCTTCACAGAAGGGATTTGTTGAAGGGATGCAATTGCTAGCCTGAAGATGAAATTTTTGGAAAACGACGACTTGAATTAATCCAGATATTTAAAGCAGATTACTGGTTCAAACAATAAATAGGTGACAACTGATAAAAATTTGTAATCAAGTGAAGATATGAAAAATATCATGGTTCTAACCCTGTAGCTAACTGAATCTGAGCAACATCAAGTTTATCACGTATTTCTTGTATAAAATCATGTGAAACACAGGTCATATTTTCTTGTGGACTGGCTGATTGGGCGCATAACACAGCTTGCGACAGGTAAGCAATACGACGACGTATATCAAAAGTGTCACTAAAAAAATTTGAAAGATTCAGAAAAGAAATGGTACATGCGCAACAAACAGTACAAATCTATTTTTAATCTCTTACTTTTGCTTCTGTGAAAGTTCATAAAGCAATCTTGCTGCTTTGGAGAAATCACCATTGCGCTCATGGAAACGCCAGAGGAGATCGAGGTATCTGCTTGATCCACCTTCCTCTACACGATGATGCAAGAAGGCTTCGACGAAGGGTGATTTGCTCTAAAATTTCTCTTTTCGCACTATTAAGGATTCAACAAATAATCAGATAGTTCTTGCAACTGGGAACAGTTACAAGAAAATACAAGAAAAAATTCCATTTATCGATTAATTGGTTCACAAGATCATTTATTTAACAGTATGGAAATAATAGGAGAAAACAAAGTTAAATATATTAAGGAAAAGAAAAAGAAAGAAAATAAAAAGAAAATCCAGCGTCATGGATTAGATAAACGATTCTACTTAATTTTTATAAATAAAAAAATTTCCCTAAAAAGCATTTAAATATACCTGAATAACGATATTACTAAAATCATTATCCAAAAGCCATTTCAATACAGCAAAATTTGCAAGCTCATCTTTAGAACGCAAAACAGAATTTACTATCAAATCTCTATCAACAATTATCGATCTCTGTTCAGTTTCACTTTTATATTTTGCATCATTCGCCAATCTATCTAGTGCATCAGTGATACACTTATAACTTTCTTTTCTGAAATTCAATGAAATTTTGCAAATATTAACATGGTATAACAAAAAGTTTTGTTTACAATAAAAAATGAACAAAGGATTTCAATATCACAAAGATCACAATTATGAATATATTAAAACTAATACTTAAAACTAGAAAGTAAAAAAATATAACAATAAGAAAATGGAAAAAAATAAACTGTTAAATAGATAAAGGATTTAAAGATGGACAAATAATGTTATAAAAAATAAAAATAAAATAAATATTTTGCAAAAAACCTTTTTGAAAGAGCCTCTTGAGCAGAAGATGTTGACAGATAATCATCATCGCTAGGGCGACTTTTATAAGCAATAAGAGCTAGTCCTTTCGAATCGTCACGTTCTGCTCTCGCTAAAGCCAAATCTACTATGCCTTCCATCCAACCAACTAAATTTTTTTTTTCTGTGAGAAATACGATGAATGAAATTAAATAAAACTAAATAGAATCAAATGAAATAAAAAATGCCTTCATAAAGAAGTTGACATATAACAGGTAAGTTTATTTTCTGAACACCAGGCATCAGGAGACAAACAGCTTCAGAAAGCAAATAACTTCGTTCTGCACAAGGTGCCATATTCCGTGCTTCTTCAATCATTTCTGTTGCCTTTAATTTTTCTGCACAATATAAAAAAAAATCGAATACTTAACATTATATGGAAAAATTGATAAATTATCATTGTGCTGCTCTAAAAATAACCTTTGTAGACAGTGCATCATCATCAGAGAATAAAGTTGGGCAGACCGATCGTAATTCATCACAGATTGTTGCAGTGGTTGCATTATCTCCAAGATAATGCCTTACCAAACATGTTATCAAATCGGCACACAGCTGGAATAGACTATTAGATTATTAGAACAGATTATTAACTGGAATAAATTAGAAACTTTCAAAATCGCTCTACTGAGTAGCCGAAACGTATCAAAAATTTATAAAGATTAAAATGAATGCACCAAATGACTATTTCCTTATCAAACTATATAATTAATAATTAAATAAATAATTCTATATAATTAATAATTAAATAAATAATTAAATAAATAAATAAATAATTCACCTGATGACCACTAACAACAATTGATGAAAAATGCATTGTAATAAGTTGATCACGTATATGTAAAGGTAATTGTGCGGTAACAACGTGAAATCGGTGAATATAAAGTAGTCTCCACAAAGATAACACTTCAATTGAAAGTGAAAGAAGTTCTCGGAAACTTATCAGTGAACGTCTCTCAAGTTGAAGAATCACTAAAGAAAAAAAAAATAAAATGATCAAGATATAACATTTACTTATTTCAAGAAATAAACAAGAAATAAGCAAATAAATAATCAATATAAATGAATACATGAATGTTTACATTTAGAATCAGTACTGGCAGAATCAGATTTATGAGGAACATCACCACAAAGGAGAAATGGCTGAACAAATTCGTTGGTGTTTCCAATAAGACTATTATCATCGACCACACGTTTAAAGATTTTGAGCTGTGCAGCGAACCAATCCAATTCTTCACACGATAAAACGCTTGATATCTGAAACTTTCAACAAAGAAAGGTTAATAACTTTAAACAGAAATAGGCTGATAAAACTTTTTCATTTATAATAGTAACTGGAACAAATTACCTAATAATGTGATTACAATTTTAAAAGAAAACTAAACAATGTTATTTGTAACGAAACTGCAGAATTATTACAACAGAAAAGCTAAAAGTAAGGTTGAAGCAAAGAAATAAAATAACTGCTTTTTTTTTGATGTTTACTAACATGGTATAACAAAAAATTACATTCAATCTAAATTATATCTAGCAATCCATCCCACTTTTATTTTTATTTTCTTTTTATTTTTTCATAATACTATTGAATTCAAGCGCATAGAAAGAAATATTTACCTCTGAGGAATTATTTAATTTGAAACAAAAAGGTGATGTCCAGAGATCCCCAACAATGCGAGAAAAATAGAGGTAAAGCGCTTCGTGACGAAAGCTCATTTTTGACTAAAATAATAAAAAATGAAAGTGGAATGAGAGTGGATTAAAAAAATTAATGAAATTTTTATTGTTTTTTCAAAATATAAAATTTAAAATTTTTTCAAAATTTCAAATTTCAATTTTTATCCAAAATTTTTTCTAAATCATCGAATTTTTGATTGTTTCTATCGAATAACATCTCTAACAGTTTGAAGATTAATTGCATGACGGGAATCATCATTGAAATGATTAAACGATGCGGAGAGAGTTTGATTTATTGAACGTTGTATTGCATGCTGCGGAGTTGACGTTTTGAGAGGTGCTAAAATAAATTACTCATTCATTTTTTTGTTTTTTGCTATTTAATCTTTTAATCTTCTTAATCAATGTTCAGCCTTCTTCAATATTTTGATAGATACAATTTTAAATATTTAATTTTAAGTGCTTTCAAACATTAAAGAAAAAAATATTACATCTCAAATCAAATGTTATATCTGCAGCAGAAATATTTCGAGGAGAAAGATCATTCTTAAGAAAATGAATACCATATCTTCCAGAAGGTTCTGCACCCACAGAGAAGAACAATTTCAATGCAGACTCCTTAAAAAATTTTGGATAAAAATTGAATATAAATATCTCCTTAAACATCAAAATTAAAAAACTTGAATGGAATCAAAAAAAAATTTAGGAATCAAAAAATATTTGTATTATAGCGAACGGATCTAATCTATCCATTTCACTTTTGATTTCACCAAAGTTTAATTATTTCTACCTTTAAACAATGATCATTTCCATCTGAAGAACATAAAATAATAAGCGCCATTGCACATATATTAAGAGCACCATGCAACTGGAAAAAAGAAAATGCCTGAGGAGAATCAATACCATGCTGACGTAAAATTTCGCGAAGAAAGTCAACAGGTGATTTTTGCTGCAATAATGATATACCCTGAAAAAAAACTCAGTTAAAGATAAGAAAAGATGGGACGAAAAACTGGAACCTATAAATTACGTGCGATGAAATGTTCCGAAACCTACTAAAAAAATCCTTTAATATATTAACATATATATATTTTTATATTATATTAATATATATTTTTTTAATATATATAAACAATAAACCATGAATAAAATAATAACCTTTTCAGTTAATACTACCAATTTTCTTGGAGTTTTTTTGTGTTCCGTTACTATAGTTGAGGGCTGAATTGCTGTTGAATTTTGCAAAAATCGATTCATTCGCTAAAATAAATTTGAAGACTACCTTTGAAAAATCAAAAAAAATTTTTACGCAATACAACTAAATTCAAATAAATAGTGAAATTAAAATTAACCATGATTTCCTGATAACTTTTAGACTCGGATATTGCTAAAACAGTTCCATGAAATCGAAGTTGTGTCTGAAACTTCTCTTCAAACTTCTCGTAAAAGTGCGCTTAGTTATAGTCTTTAAATAACGAACTTCAAATGAATAACCTAAGCAAATTTTAATAATTTATAATAATAATAATAATTTTAATAATTTATAATAATTTACTTTAAGAATTTTTTAATAATTTAATAATTTTAATTTAATAATAATAATTTAATAAAAATTACCAACCAAATTTTCTGCAAGAAACTGATATGTTGAAAAATTTGAAGATGAAAATGCCCAGAATAAAGAAGAATCATCACCAGCACATTCGGAAACTAATACAGCCAATTCTGGAAATAAAAAATCAAAAAAAAAGAAAAAATCTAAGGACAACGGAAAAAGGATAACGGAACTCTCTTATGAATACTTTATTTAACAGAAAAAATACTAAAACCATGTGAGTAGAATGCATCATATGTAATGAATGGTTGACTTGTAAAAGATGTTAATCCATATCCTGGTGGAAGCCTGACATGTCGCAAACGCAAATTACGTGGTCTACTATCGATCTGTAAAAATTCAGAAGAATGAAAAAAAATAAGGCGAAAATAGACGAATATTCTAAAAAAAAACAAGAAAAAACCAAATTCGGAAGAACAGGCGTAAGACCAGAGATGGCAGAATTATAAAAAGAACGCGGTGTGGAATCATGGCAGCTGAAATACAAACGCACACCCTTTCTTGTCGTTGCAATCTAAAATTTAAAACGAATTCAAAGCGATTAAACCTACCATTATTTGGATATAATAAAAATATCCTTTTGGAGTCTTTTTATGTTTACCATAAACCAATAAAATTTAAAAGATCTAACGAGATGTAAATGGTGCGATTGAGATGCTGGTATTGCACTGATGCTAATAATATCAGCAAAAAAAGATGGATCGACCGTCTGACATTCAATTGAAGCTCTTTCCTGCGAAAAAATGGATGGAATGAAAAAACTTCTTCGGAATTTTTTAAAAGATTTTCTATTATAAAACCAATAAAAGTACCTGAATTTGACTGCAATTAAGAGAAGCAACTTTAGCCATTTCTGTTCCATCACTTCCCAAATCAAAAACTTGTACTGATCCATTCTCAGTAAGACCATACAAAATGTGGCGAGTATCATCTACACATAATTTGGCAATTTTTTCTAAACAATAGAGAATCATCAACATTAGATTACCATAAAGGATGTAGATTAGTTCCAAATGAAATACAAAAAAATAAAAAAAATTTCGAATCTTAAGCGATTGTATTCTCTGTTCCGTTCTATTATTTTCAAGCTATTTCTGGAATATTTTCAGAATTCCTATAAACAACGAATTATGTTCATTCTTTTTTAAATTTAAAAAAAAATAAAAAGAACACATAAAATTTGAAAGTAGAAGCAATAAAACTAATAAGAAAATAATACAAATTTAGTTTATTTTTTTTAAGTTTATTTTTCCTTTTTCCTTTATTTAAATTTATTTTTCTTTTTTATTTTTATTGTAGGGTCGTTTATCCTTTTGGAACTCATTAATGACAATATTGTATATTGTATAATATTGTATAAGAGCTAATAAACGAAATTGTTTTTTGCGGTTAATTGCGGATTATTCAAAGTTATCACCCTTAATTGGGCACTTTGAATCATAAATCAAATAAGTGCATTTCTTTATACAGTACCACTTCTAATAAGACTAATAACTAACTTTTATAAGGACAAATTATTAGAGTCTTTAATGGTGTTATCTCGTTGCAGTGCTGGAAGACATAGAAAATTCAAAATATAATGCACAACCTAAACTCACTCTCAATTTGTTGAATTAAACAAGTTTTAACTTATATATACAAAATTTCATATGGTTCTTTCAAATTAGATTAGTCAAAATATTATAATTTTAGGTTGAATTTGAAGCCAACAAAATATAATTGGCTAAAATTATTGAAACCTAAACTATTGAAACTACTGAAACCTAAGAACGCATGTTTTTTTATTCGCATCATTTATTACTGGAATAGGCTGCCGAATGATGTAGGTTGTGCACCATCCTTACATATTTTTAAAAAAAGATTAAATAAATTCATCCATGGAATTATTTAGAAGCGTTGTACTATGTAGGAGTTTGAAATCTTGATCTTGATTTATCGAATTTATCACTAATATATTTAATTTGACTTGGCTTACTTTGCAATTCACCTTTATTTGTGTTTTTCTATTTATATTGTTAACTTTTGGTCATATTCCTTTTGCCACTTATATCGGAATCACTAATTTTTTTCATTGATACTTTATCCTGTTGTTATTAACTCAAGCACATGGCGCTTATCTTGCTTGGTTGCTTAAATAAATATACAAAATGGATTTGAGTCAACATCGCCAAAATAAAAGTGAGCTATAAGAGAAAAGAAGTAATAACATATCTCCAAATTAAAATAAGGAGGTATATGTTAAGGAATGCAGGACAATGGTGAATAAGCCACGGTGATATGTTCGCCTTGTTAAACAATACACATCGCTCGCTAAATAACTCTAAAATTACCGTAAGAAAATCAACTAAGAGATTTATTTAAGTACCAGCTAACAATATGATACTAGTAAATTTGACACTAGTACACTTCGATAATCCAGAGAATGTGGAAAGATGACTTTCGAAGACAACCACGGAAATTTGGATCTAATGGACAAGTTGAAGTATATCCTATTATGTACAAGAAAAGAGTTATACAAATACGTGTCTTTCTTAGTTCTGTCTTTGATAGAATTAAACTTGCTGTCGCCGAATGGCGAAAAAATATGAGCAAGTCATCCGGATTTCCGCCCATTTTAAATTAAATATAAGCTCCCAAAAGATCATTTTTGGTCATTTTGTGCTTCTAATAGGGAAAATGAGTGGGGGAGCAGTCGGTGAGCGATGGGCATTAAGATCTTATATTTGATTTTATTTTAATCTCGTCTTGGTACCCATGATACTTTCAGTACTACGACAAGTATGCAAACTCAAGCGCGAGCTCAAGGCTTAAGAATGGGATCTACTCGCGAGCCACGATAACTACTCGAAATCAAAAGAAACGGCTATCTGTACGCGTGGCGAGGTGCAAGCAGTTGCAGCATGAAGTGCCAGCACGCTTATGGATGTCGCAAGTCAAGCGTCTTTCCAAATATCGTGTGGATTTCGCCTTCTTTCGGAGATTCGCTTCTAGAGTAATTACTAATCCCGGCTAGGAGCAAAGGTACTGGCAATATCACTGTGGTGGATAAGTCGAGGCGAAAAGGCCTAGGCTTAGGAGCAAAATCCTAAGCCTAAGCGTAAGAATTAAAAAATCCACACAGGTGGAGAGCAACAAGATTGGAAAAAACGGGCAGATATCAAAAAATCTCTTAAGAAAAGAGCAAAATCACCAGGGATTTTTGCGCTTCTTACCAGTGCAATATTATCAAAGAATCCTGTTCGCTTCGTCAAAGAGCAAATCGCCTCTTTCCTTTGCATTCAACGAGAGCAGTCATCGCTCCAATCTCGGTATCCATTGGCGTTTTTTCATTTTATTGATTTTAAATTTTTTGAAGGAAGATTAATGAAATGAAAGGGAAGAATTAAAACAAATTTTTTTGCAAATTTACAATAAAAATATTATAAATATAATAAATATACTGACTGTGAATTAAATTTCTTGGTTAGTATGAAAATTTTATTTTATAAGTTCAAATTTTTTTATAAGTTCTCAGAGAAAATCAAATCAAATATAATAAACCAAATATCGTTTTATTCGTAAAAATTTCTCTATCTTTTTAGCAATAAATGTAGAGGAATGGCGAAAACAAATGGTAAAACAATTGAATTTTGAATTGAATTTTAGTAAAACAATCAGTGGCCACGCGGTACGATTGATTGTTCGATGCGCGTCTTGCATCTGAACTTCGATTTCCTGGCTGGAGGAAACTTTTCATCCAGAAAAGTCGCTAATGATCTAACTGCACTTCTTTTGCCAAATGACTCCTTGACAAAATTATCATACTATAACCATACTAATGGCTAGCGGTACCAGTATAACTTGAAATGATAGCCACTACTGTCAAATATGAAATGGGTTACGGGGCATTTAATAGGCACAATTCTGAATGTTTTATTTTTCATGTCATGTGCTGAAATTATGCACATTTTTGTCTAAATTTATTAATAGGTAATAAAATCTTAGTGGCAAATCCGGATAAGTTTTTTGTGAATTTATTATTGACTAAAATTAATTCTGCTTAAAAATTTTTTTCAAATGAATTTTCAGATTCGATTCAAATGGAAATAGATTAAATAAAAATTAAATAAAATGTATTTTCGACCTGAAATTTTGTAAAATTTATTTACATTTTTTCTTGTATTTATAAGGATTTCATAAATGATAAAGTTCCATTCGAAAATAATTATTTGAACGATGATAGATGTGTTCCGGCTAAGGTCGAGACATCTTAAGTTCAGTTCTTATCACTTTGACGGGGTAAACGTGCAATTAGAACCAAAATGCAGGCAGTGCTAGGAATGCATTTTCATTTTCAAATGTTCTTGAGAATGAATTTCATCCTAATAGTCAATGGAGCCAAACCAGAAATAAATAATATTTTTTGACGAAGAAGAGTGGGGAGTCGCTACTAACAAATGGATGTACATCAAACATGTAGAAATGGTATCTGTGAAGTGGATGATTACTTTATTCTTTCTTTATTTTTAATCCTTATGATCCTTACAACCATAAATTTGGAGTCAGGATTTAAGTTGAACTAAGTGTAATCGAGATGATGGTGCTCATTTCGTGGAGTAGTGGTCGAGGTGGTACTCACTTATTTTGTCGAATTAGGCGTATATTCATGATTTAACGATTTTAGCTTTTCTGCTCTCGAAAGAAATGTTAATAAATGAGAAAAAAAAAATTTTGTGCGAACATTTGCTCAAATTGAGAATTTCCCAAAAAAATTGCAAATGATGAATTTAGTCGTTAATTGTCTTTGATTCCGTTATGTTCGTTCTGCAACATTCACCGTTTTTAATACCTATTAGAAATTAAAATTAAATAGATATGGGTAGAAAAAGGTATTCTAGCGTGATAGGCACTTTCGCAGGCGTAGAAATACAGGCGTTCCGCATCGCCGGTATTTTAATGGTAGCCTTATTCCTATTAGAGATAGAGGTCGAACCATAATATTTAAGTAATGATAAGGTAATGATAAGCAAAGCAAAACGCTTGGCCATATTGCTCCATTATTTCGTATCGATTGCAATTTTTTTTGTATAGGAAATGTGAAATTGTATTTTTTTATTATTCAAGGTACAATTTTTTACCGCAGTAATTTGGCACTTTTTTAAATAAATAGTAAGTGGGTAATCGACGTTCGCCATTTCTATTTGCCAGCGATTTGGTGGGTCGGCTTGCACCACTTGCACTTTTTCATTTTTATTCGAAGCAGGAGACGAATTCTTGCTTTTCAACGATAATGTCAAGCTCTTTTCTTTTGTAAATATTATTCACTGCATATAAGAAGAACGATTTGCGATCAGAAATATTTTTATGTTTGCTTTATTGAGTAACAATATAGGAAAAGTGCAATAAACGAAGAATACTGGATTTCTCCAAAAAACTTTTTTAAGTTGCAAGCAGGAGAAATGATGTGAATTTGTATATACATACGCGTTTATATTTGTCTGTCTGTGCGTATTGGCGTGGTGATATTTTGATAAGAAAGTGCACTTTGTAATTAAGCATTTTGAATTTTATATTTTCTATTTTCAATCGATATATTCATTCATTATTTTTTCCAGTTTTTCCAATAGTTGTAGCTTTATTTTTCAGTAAAATCTATAAATTTATATTCATTTTTTGCGATTGTTGGAAACTTAAAGCCTCAGGCAAATTTGAAAATAAAATTTTGTTCTTGCAAAAAAGAGATTGTAGATTGGCATTTTCAAATTTTAGGCAATTTTAAGCTTGGCAAATAAATTCGTGAATGAGGAGAAATGAAAGCGCTAATTATTTATCTTGATAGAGATAGGACAGGTGTCACCCCAAGGTCACTTGGTGCCACCCTAGTGTCACTCACGTCTTATTGCTCACGCCAACTATTGCTCATATTTTCCTTCGTTTTCCCGAACATTCCTCAATGCCTCAAATATTACCCACCTTTTGCTTTCTTTTCACAAATGTTGCTTGTGTATTCCCTTGATTTTATAAATTGAATTTTTGCTAATAGAAAATTTAGAAAATGAAATAATATTTTTGTAATCATCCATTTAGAGCTGTTTTTAAATTTTGCATTATTCATGTTATAATTTTTTTCTCGGAAATAAATATTTGATTCTCGCTGGTAAAATAATTAATTTAGCAGCGATTCTTAAATTTCTTATCAGTTCGCAATCCTCTTTACTATTAAAATTGCTGAGGGCTCTCAAAGCCTTTTATTTATGCCAACTATGTCTCTCGACATTTGGCTTATTCCAAGAACTAACTGAGAATTATTTTTTCACTGGGTCACTTTAAAAAGATTATAATGCTCGTAGACAGGTTAGAAAGTAATATTTTTAATATTTGACTTTATAAACGAACGTAAAATGGCAAACTATGTCATTAAACGTGTTTTATTATTATGGCAATTGTTTTGATTTCGCGGAGCATTTTGAGAGGCGAGTATTGGGAGGTGAACAAATTCAGTCTATATGTCATAAATTTCTAACCTGTCTACGAGCATTATAATCTGATTTATGCGGATTATAACCTAATTTGTGTGAAGTTATAGGTTATTATTCATTTGCAGTTACTCACTATTACCTTATTTCATAACAGTATATTCTTCACATCTTGTATTGCATTGTGGTACCATAGTGTTGCTACAGTTTTCAAAATGAAAAGGATTGAACCTGTTCTTGCACTCTATGTGTTTACTTCATTTTTAAAATTTTCAGTATTTAATGCATTACTTCATGAGAAATCATGCATTTTTATTTATAAGGTTAGTATTTTAGTTTTTGTAAATATGAGAAGTGAGAAGGCAAAGTAAGCAAAACAGTAAGCAAAATAAAAAGCTGATAAAATTTTATGATTTAGTTTATCGAAATTGAAAACCTTGTATGTCATCTTTTTAAAAGTGTATTCGAATATTGTTTAGGAAATTTTTTATAACAGCATATGTTCTTTTGAATTGGATCTTCATTTTTAACAACCAATTTTAATTTTAGGATGCAGTTTTATGCAGCAATACAACTGTGGTGCATAAAGATCTTCCGATTCAACGAAGTGCAAATCATCTTTTCTTATTTTCTTCATTTTGTTTATTTATTCCTTCCATCCCTGTATCAATTTGGCTTGGATCACGTAAGTCTAGTTCTTTATCGCAACCATTACCAAATATTTTCATTCGCAAGATGCTTGAAACTCATTTGGAATCAAAATATTTCTTCACTAATTTGGTTCCTTTTTATCATTTATCTGTTGCTTATTTGTTATCAATGCTCTTATCATCTCTGTCCGTTTTTTGGGAATTTTTTTTCAAAATTTTCATTACGTTTTAATTATGCTCTTCTCATTTTCAGTCTTTTTTTCAAAAAAAGATTTTGACGAAGAAATATTTTGATTATTCGGGTAAATGTTACGCTTTAAATGTAAGTGTGCTTTTATTAAATTAAAATGCCGTCTTAAAAAAAATATTTAATTTTAGTCTGTGACTTATGGAGTTCAAAAATTCCAATTTTGATTCCATTATTTGGTTTATTTTCTGCTGATATCAATTATATAGTTCAGTGTTTTTGGTTCGATCTTAATCCTCTATTTTTAATTATTAGTGACATTATTTTTGGGTTGTGTGGTGGTTTTTCATCAGCAATTGGTATGTTTGATATTTATCAGTTTATCAGTTCCACTGCAATTCTTTAATTTAATTTCATCTAACATAGAATATTAATATAAAAAAGCTTTTAAAAATAATTTCATGCCCTAAAGAAATAAACACGTAACAACCACTCTCGGTAATGCGACTATATAAAACATTAGAGAATCGTGTTTTATATTTAAATCTTTTTTAATCCTTTTAACTTTATTTAGTAACTGAAGGTAAATTAACTTTGTATTAAAGGTGCGTCGATGGCTCAATAATGCCAATATAATTGCCACCGAGAATCGAGACATCGTTGGTTCGAATTAGGCGGTTTCGTTTCGAACTGAACCACTCTTCGTCGGGCGGTATTGTCGCCTAACGGAGTAAAACAATGGTGAGTAGAATTGCTCAGTGGGTTATCGTTCAGTTCGGAATGTCGATGCTGAAGCGTTCTACTCCCCGTAGGTCCAAAAATCCGGGTGATTCTGGAGGTCTATGTTTCTATCGCCAAGGGACTCTCTGGCATATTTGTCTAGTCTAGTCTGTCTAGTCTGACAAGTCAACTGTCCAACTAATAATGGTGAGTGCTCTTAAAAACAAAAAAAAAGCTTATGTTAAAACTTATCCGTGATTAGTCCGAAAAAAAAATTTCTAATAAAATGTGTTTATTGCATTCTGCTGGCGTAGAATTTTAAGATGGATTTGAAGATGGATTAATTTTATCGCCTATTAGAAACGTAAATTACTTGAATTAAAGGAATGATGCTCGCTTATGCGATGAAGCAAAAGGATAACTCGACAAAAGCTGGTAATCAAATGGCAATACTTGAAGGTTCCATGGGTGTTGGTGCAACATTCGGGTTCGCTTTCTCAGGCATTTCTAGAAAGTACTGTTCTCTAAATTTTTCTATAACTAATTATCCGGTTTTTTCATTGTTTATGTTGGCTGTAAACCTTTAATTAATTTATCATTTTTTTCATTTTTATAGCATTTTTTGCAAATTTTTGGATATTAGAATAATTTTTTGATATTTTTGGATATTCTTATAATTTAATTTAATTTCAGATATTTGGGTTTCACTGGAATATTTACTATTTTATTTTTGTTGAGAGCTATTTGTTTGGTGTATGTTAGTTTTTTGGATGAAATAAGGCCAGAAAATCGTGCTGGATCCTCTTCTCAGGGTATTTTAAGTTTTTTTCACTGATAAAATTCATTGTTGTTCTTAATCTTAGAAGTTTTTCAGAAAGTCTTCATCCACTTTTCACGATAAAGCGTCATTTTATGGATAGCTGGGCAGTTGTTTCGAAAAAACGTCCAACAAGAAAAACACTTTTGCTAACATTGGCTGCACTTGCTATTGAATTATTTGCATTTTCAGGCATATATCTTTTTTAAAATAGTTTAAAATAAACAAAATATTATTATTAATATTATAATATTATTAAAATAAAAATAAGAATAATTACTTGTTTTTAAGTTATTCAATTTTAAGGTATAAATGATATAATGTATTCTTTTTTTCGATTCAAATTGCAATGGGATGATAAGCAATACGGCTTATACAATGGCCTTGTATTTGGTTTCAGCACGCTTTCCGTAAGTTATTAATTTTATCATTTTTTCAGATTTGACATATTTACTGCAGCAAATAAATTAAAATTGTTTTGGGCTCATCATTCCTAGTTAGCTTTACTCCACTAGTACGATGAGAAATTCTTAGGAGAGTAATTTGGTGATATAATTGCCACTAATACCCAGAATTTTTTTAATGACTGGTTTATTTCTGTTGAAGGCAGGTGTAACCAGTGTAACCCTTGATGCTCCGAGCGATAATCTCGGCTTCAACCACTCTATTGTTTTGGCTTATTTTTGCAATAAGTGTGGTTTGCGAGAACTTTAAAAATTTGAGTAGTTCTTTCCGAAAATTTTATTTTTTTATAATGAACTGTTAAGGAATTAACAGAATTTTTCTAAATGAACATGTTTTTATTTTTTTTCCAGGTGCTTTTTATCTATCCAGCTTTCCGCAATCGTGGTTTTAGTGATATGGCACTTTGCTTCGCAGCACTTATAATTAAAATATTCAATCTTCTAGCTGTCGGATTTGTATTTTCAACTGCATTCGCATTTTTTTTATCGATTTTTGCAACTTTTAATAGGTTCATTCCAACAGCTTTACGAGCTACAGCTTCACAAGCTGTTGAAGTTTTCGAGCAAGGTTTTTTTCCTTAAGAATTTTGAATTTCTACGGATTTTTTACGATATGCCCTTGTCTAGCATTTGCCGTTATCTCATCATAAAAGCATAAGTCAGAGTGGTATTTCTGCAAGATGAATTATAATTGTTTCAAGTTTTTCCCTCTGGTAAGAGAGAGTTCGTATGATAGCGGAGTGTTGACCTTCAACATGGAAAGAAAAGTTATATTATAGTTTTATTGAATGTATAAATTGTTTAAGAGAATACTTGGAAAAATTCAGGTTTTTGGTGATTTGTTTTGATTTAAGCGATTACGTAATTAAATGCGTTGAATCCAACATTCATTGAATGAGCTTTAAAAAAGTAAAGGTAAGGATGAAATGGTTTCGAAATTCCGACATCAATGTTTTTCGCACATAAATCGTTATAAGTGCCATTATTTTTGATGAGGCCAACTCTACTGACTGTTCATTCTTAGAAATATAGTATAGATTGGTTAAGGCACCGCTTGGAATGGTAGATTATTTTATTGCTTCGAACCTCTCAATGGAACAGTCTTTTCAAACTTCCAGGTTTCTGGTATAGGACTAGGTGTTGAAGTGACCAACCAGAGCTATTCATCATCCTATTATGCCCATATTTTGTTTATTTATAGTTTGAATCTCGTCGTTTATTTGAGTTTCACTTTTCCGTCTATTCTTGGTCTTCGTTAAACTGGAACCGAACATTTGGCGAAAAAATTTGCAATATTCGTTATCAATGTGTAAACCAAAAGAAATGCGTTTTAAATTCATATATTCACGCATAAAAATCATTAAAATATGTTTTTGCTATCTAATAACAAATTAATATTTTTTAATTAAAATTTGATAAAAATGCATTCAATCCATTATTTTTAAACTTAAGTTCTATTTAAAAAAAAAAGCACTACGAGAACCTGCACAACGTTGCTTAGATGTGCCACACGTACCATACATTTACTGGATGGAATTTTTTGGCTATTGGCCAGGCAAAAGGGTGAGGAAAGCCATTTCTTAATCGCGATTCTTTAGACTTCATCTTTAACCATGTGAAACTCAAGAGTCAACTGCATATGTATCTTATAGTTAAATGAAACGAATAAGGCGAATTTAATCCTATTTGATAATGAATTAATGGATTAATAAAGCTTTAAATATCTTGGATCCAGTCTAATCTCAAATAGCCAGGTAAAGGATGAAATTGTAAATTTGATAACGACAGCTAAAAATGTGTTTTTTTCGGTGAACGTCATGAAATCACCATAAAGACGAAAATTCGCGTTTATATAGCGGCAATGCATAAAAACGAAAATTTGCGTTTATATAGCGGCAATTCGCTCGATCTCGCTGAAGATGGCTGCAAAACATGGCCCATGAGAGTGGAAGTACTGAGAAGTTATCAGTCTTTGACCACTCATGTTTAAGATATATTATATGGATCCGTCAAACGGATAAAATTGGACATGATTGTATCCATCCTTCCTCAAATACCACCTATATTAATAATCTCAGAGCATCGCTTTCTCTGGTTAGAGCACACATTCTCCGTCGTCCACCACAGGAGTTGACGCATATTTTGTTACTTGCTAAACCATGTAATGGATGGTGTCAAAAGCGAGATAGGCCAGTCAAGACCTGGATTGATACAGTCAGGAAAGATTTTGAACATATAGGTGGACCAGCAATATATGGATTAAGACGATGGAAAAAGGAATGACTTCTATTACCGTCGACGATGGCATCTAACCGCACCGCTTGGAAGCGTCTTACCATTGTAAGCGTTGGAGCCAGCCTAACCAGTAATGGTGTGAGATGTTAGAAGAAGAAGGATTAATAAGGCAATGATTATTTAGAAGATTAAACGCGGTGATGACTATGTGATACGTTTTCATTGAAATTGTAAGTAAAGTTACCTTAACCATATTTCGCATAATTAATTCCTTCATTCAATTTTGCAAATCGTAACAGTCAAATAATCGACAGCAATTATTATTTTTTGCCAAAATTTTAGTCGAAATTTAGGCAAAAAATAAAAATATATTATAATAAATATATTTGAAATTTTAGAAAAAATTTTAGCAGATTTCGCGATTTGAAGAATTTTTCGATTTGGCTAAGTGAACAAAAAAATTGATTTTGCACTAGAATATGTATATTCATATTGGCTCATTTGGCTTATTTGCTTGATTCAAAAAGAAATTTTTATATTTTTTGATTGCATGGGCGATTCTTGAAAATTTGTCTTAGATTTCTTCAAACTATTGCGAATTTTGAAAATTTTTAGTAATTGTGGATTTTTCCAAAAGAATTCTTGAAGAAATTCTTGTCTTGAAGAATTTGTTTGAATAGATCTAAGAATTTATTGTTTCTCCCAGTGCCAGAATAATTTACAAAATTTTCTTGATGGATTATTTTTCTAAAATTTTAATCCGATATTTTAGATTGTTATTTGTTATTTTTCCTGTTAATCAGTTATTTTATTTAATAAGACTATTTAATATCAAAAGTTGAATAATAGTTGAATAGTTTGAATAGTTTAATAGTTGAATAGTCAGTCATTCAAAATTATGAGAATCTGTTTAATATGAGAATACAGAAATAAAAAGAATTTTGCTATATCTCAAAATCCTATTTTATCTTAATTGTGTCAGGATTCCTCTGAAAAGGACAGTGATTTTTCTACGATAATTATTCAAGACATTATGTAAATCGCAGTTCAATGAATCTTTTTTATCTCAAATATTTTTGGTGACGATAAAATATAAAAATAAAGTAAATAAAGTAAAAGCAGTTTCAGGAAAAGTTCTTTCATTGATGGGCGTCTTACAAGGAATAACAGCCTTAAGTGGATCAATGTTCTTCAATTCGATATATCCAACAACGCTGCCTTCCGCATCATTCGCATGTTTTATTATTGTTGCTGGATTTCTTACTGTTCCATTTTTGATATCCATTTATATTTTTATCAAAAATTCACAATCTTCTCAATTAAAACCAAATAACGAATCAGTTTCTTGCTGATTTTAACAATATTGTTTTGTTTACCGCTTATTTTTTGCATAGTTTTTTGTCATTATTTTATTTTATTTCAAATGAATGGTGTTGTTCATTTATTAGGAAATGCATAAAATGGATATTTTTAGGAGGTTACGTCTCCATTTTTGGAGAAACCGAAGAGAATTCATTGAGAAAAGATTCTGTCATTTCGTATGAATTTCTGAATAATTTTTTCACTGCAAATCAATTTTTAATGACTTAAAATTTTTTTATGCAAAAGTGAAAATTTTCCATCTGGAAACCTGATAAAAGTTCGAAATACCATTGATTTTCAATGGTGCAAAATAGCATCAAAATGCGAAAAATATGAGGAATATTTCTTGTGCCTAAATTAAAATTTATTCAAAAAATTTAGATTTCGCTTGCAATCACATGCAAGCATTTCTAATTTTTCAATTGAGCACTAATTAAAATGCATCTTTTAAATCATATTTATAGCAACTTTAATGAAATCAGTTGAACGATTTAAATTTTTTACATTTTACCGATATGTATTATAATAGAATTAATTGTTTATTAAAGTACTGATAATTATATGTTAAGTGATGATTAGCATGAGCGCAGTTGCAGGCATATCAAATTGTCCAATTATTAGCAAATAATTTCGTCAAAATGAATTTTATCAAAATTTATTTTCGCAGCTAAACTGGTTAAATGGGTTTTATTCATTTTATTTTTGGTTGCATCCAAACATATTAAAATGAAAATATATTTATGAAAATATAAATGAAAATATACATATTAAAATGAAAATATATTTGACTTTTACTGTATTATTATCATTATTATTATTATTGTTATTATTATTGCTGTTATTATTATCATTGTTATTATTATTATTAATTATTATTAATTATTATCATTATTGTTGATTATTACTGAACATAGAATCTTCAATTTCAGGCCGTGCGGTGATTTCGAAATACCTTTTAGTATTCGACCCTTATTAATCGGTGTGTTTTCTAACTGTTTTACATAACTGTATTTATTCATTTCTTCCGAAACTGAAAAAAAAAACCATCGTTTATCGTACCATAATGCTTAACGCTGACCAAATTACAGTAAGGCATACTGAATATGAATGCCACATCTTTTGACTAAAAGCGCTATTCTTTATAGGTTCTGTACAAAATTTTTTGTTTTAAATGAGGAATTTAAGTTAATGACGGAAATTTTAGATCAATTTAAATATTTTTAGATCTTTTTTTAGATCTTTAATACAGAAAATTTCCTATTTTTGATGAAATTGTTTTTATCCGGCCACCACTAAAAATCTCAACAAAATTTATGGCACTTCAATGTTGAACAATGTTAAAAAATGAAGCTTTGTTTCTTTTACCTTAGAGATTGGCTTCTTTCAGATTGCCTGTTAATTTTATCTAAAATGATTATTAGAATTCTTCGAAATTTTTGAATACTCTCCTCTTAAAAAACTCATCAATATATGAAAACGATTCTTCTTATTTTTCTATTGGCTTGCATTATTACTGGCTGTATAATTAAAATAATGAGAATTTTTAGATATTAAAAGAAAATTTCATTTCTACTTCTAATTCGGTAACACGATTATGCAAATCAGATCCAAGTAATTTGATAGTGATAGTGAAAGCCCTGAAGACAATGGAACTTCTCTAGAATCGTGGTATATGCAAGACATATAAGAGTGGGATGTAGATGAATGCAAACAGAGCTTAGACGTAACTGCACGAGGCATCGCAAGGCCTATACACAGTAATAGCAATAAGACGATAATCATCCATGTTCTATCCAAGTATAAAAAACAACTGGTTTTGTAATCTCGGCAGTCGCTTTAAAACCCATTGAGATTTCGATTATGTCAATGAATTTTGCATACGATACATAAACAAATAAAAAACTTCATGAGATCGGATTTGCTTTAATTTTTTACTCAATGATGGTAATTATAAATCTTTCAAATTAATTACTATTAGCTATTGTAATAAAAATTACAACATTTTCCAATGTTTTGACCAATTTCAAAAATTTTCAAAAATCATGCATGGAAAAAGAAATTAATGCAAAGATCAGTGAATATGAATATCTATCATTAATATCATCATTAATACTTGTCGGCAATATTTTAGCAGTTTTAAACTGTTGGATGATAAAATTAAGCACTAAAAATTTTTTTGAAAAAATTAAAAATTGTTATTAACGATGAATATAAAGCGGACATTCATCTATATCAATTTCGTTGAGCATTTGACTAATCCTAAAAGTGTCTCACTAATAACGAATTTTAATTTTCATTTTACATGACCATTTACCCAAAATTTGTTATATATGCATATATTCTTCGAAATATATGTATTGAATTAATGAATTCGTGCTAATTTCTCTCATTTTAACAATTTTCTTGCCAGGGTTAAGTAAAAAATACAAGAAAAACAAGGAAAGAGAAAGATTCAAAAATTCTTTCGAACTAGAATCACAAGCCAAACTAGACATAATGAGTACCATTAGAAGAAGAATAATAAATTAATAAGCTTTATTTCATAAGATATAAATTAATTTATGCAAATTAATTTTTTTCTGAAAGTCAAATTCAGTTTTCAAACTACTTTTTAGATTACTATTTGTAACTTGTTGTTTATTGTAAATCATATTATAGATTAGTGTCACTATTAAAATTATTATAGATCATGGATATGAGTTTTTTTTTTCGAAGGAGCTGTTGAGAAAAATATAGGAAGAAAAATTTAGGAAGGAGTTAAAACTTAATCAAATAGAATATGGTGGTCACAAATTCCCTCAAGAGTGGTCTATTCATAAAAAACTAAGCAATAAAATTAAATTAAATTAAATCTCGAGGAACCTACTGCTTACTCGGAGTTAATTAATTGAAATTTCCAGTTTTTCCATTTTGAATATTAAAACTATTGTTTTTGACCAAATCATTCATTGATATAAAAGTCCTTCTTACACCATAACATCTATGACGGAGTGCCATTTTTATTAATAAAAATCCGCTGAAGAACTTTTTTTCTTTAAAAAAGCCATCCACGATATCACAATTTCATATTATCGCATTTTTTCTATCATTATTAAAAACATTGCTTATTATGTGTCGTACTTAAATTAATGGTGTTTGGATCCAAGATAAACAAACGCCTTATTTTTTTGATAGTTTATTAGCCTTTGAGATATTCCTGTCCACGATTATTAAAATAAAATAAATGAAATTAAAATAAAATAAAATAAATGAAAGAAAGTGTTTATTTTCCCCAAACTGAAAACAGAAAAGATTTCATTTTAATTTTCCATGTTGAAATTCATAAAGCATCGGAACATTTTTGTTTTAATCCTTCTTCTGGAATTAAAAAATTTTATTTACGTCCCGATTGTTTCTTTTATATCTCCAAATATCGGAAAAAGAGTGGCTTCGTTTATTTTCAGGTATGGTATCGGACCAAACCAACCTAATGGTGTGAAATATTAAAAAAGATGATAAAATTCAGTACGAAATATTCACCAAAATTTTTTTCCTTAAGCTTTTAAACAACTGTTTCTACTTCTAATTCACTAAAAAATCGAGTGAAGGTTAGGTGAAAATTTTAAAGATAAAATTTTTCGCATTACTTTGTTTAAATTCAGAGAATAGCCAATGTTGCGGTCAGCTGCTTCTGTTTAATCTGTCTATCTGCTTCATTTTAATTTTAACCCCAATCATTCCTCTAGTTATGAATTAATTATTTCACTGATTTAAACCTACCTACACCTATGTAATCAATTCATTTCTGAACCTAATTAATCCATTCGGCTGTGGGCTGCAAAGAAATTCTTAAGGGATTTTTTTGCCAGTTTTTTACTCAGTTATTTCGTGAACACTAATCGTTGATAGATCTGCAAAATATAAACATTTACTTGATTTACCATTTACACCATTTGTTTTCCATATGTGTTTCTATTAAACTTTGTAGTCTCATTTATTGAACTTATTAACGGATAATTTTTCTTTCGGATATATTTCTTATTAAATTTGCGTCGGTTTTTTGAATTCAGGTTTTTCATTCAAAATCTTTCAACATTTAGCAGGTTTTCATAGTTCCTATTGATTAAAGCTTCGAAATTACCAATCTTCATTTTTCGGCCCATTTTGAAATATTCAATATTGAAACAATCACTTTTTTATGGATCTAAATAAAGAAAATATTTATTCAATAAACAAGTTTGTCATAAATTTTATAGATGAAAAATTAACACACTTGGTGGATGGGCTAACGCTTAAAAATTTATATTGCGAAAAACACTATAAGCTTTATTCTCACGATAAGCATTTCTTCTTTGTCTAGCTCTTACCATTACTGGTTAGGCTGGCTCTAACGGCTATAAAGGGTTTCCAAGTAGCGCGGTCTGATGCCATCGTCTATGTCCATATATTGCTGGTCCACCTATACTTTTCTTAAATCTTTCCTGACTGCATAAGCTCAGTCTTGCTGTTTCAACTCGCTTCTGACGCCAAAACAAAACCAGCACAGGGTTTAGCGAATAATATGCGTCAACTCCTGTGGCGATGGTGAACAGCACTAACCAGCGAATGCGACGCTCTGTGATAACATTTATTAATGCAAGTGGTATTTGATCGAAGGTGGTTGCGATCATGTGATATTGTATCCATTCAACGGGCCATGTACCTTAGATAAGAGTGGTCAAAGGCAGATAACTTCTTAATATTCTCCATTTTCATTAGCCATGTCTCAGAGCCATATAACAATATCGAACGAATCACGGCTAGATAGATGCGGACTTTCGTTTTAGTGGTAATTTTACCACGGCTCCATAAAGGTTTCGTCAACCAGAAGAATGCATTCATACAAGAATGCATTGCAAATATAAGTAAAACAACGAAGCTTATTGAATCTCCTTAATAAGATGAGCAAAAAAAATTTTTCTGGTTAATTTTAAAATAACCACTTAGATTGCGAGGTCATTTTGAGCAATTTAAATTTACACAAAAAATTATGGAAGATGTTCCTTTATCCAGCGAAAATATGGATTCAAAATGATTGCTGTGTGGATGTGATGGTATTGATAATGGAAAAATAATTTTTTGTCCATTTTGCAAATCAAAAAATGGAAAAAAAAGCCTGCAATAAAAACGATTTGCTTATATTATTATGAAGTGGAGTGATAGTAGTTGAATCAATAGCCATATTCATTAAATACTCGCTTTAACACTTTTGAAGTCTCTTTGATTTTTCAAAGAATTTTCTCCACAATCTTAAAATCACTAATGCGAAAACATGCCTAATACTAAAGTTTCTGGCAATCTTTTATTTCCATTGGCAATTACTTTTGAATGGATTTAAAAATGATAAGCTATGACCCACTGTTCGCAGCATTTCTTCACCTACGGACTGATTTCGAATGATTGAAATATGGTTAAATTCCAAATAATAATCCCGATTTGACTTTTAATGACAATTCCGCGTCCAAGTGCTATGATCGAAAAATCGTCATTAAGTCACTACGATGATTTTATTATATATTAGAAAAATTCATTACATTTAATAGCCACATTTCAGGAAATGTTGCGGAAAATTTTAACAATTAAACCAATATTACTGATCTTCTTACCATTTCTCAAACAAAAGTTGTGTATTTACTTTTTTATGCTCTTATCCGTTACGAATTCCATCGGTAATATATTAATATTCTTGTCGAAAAATCTCATTTATTATGAAAAATCAAGCTAAGTATGATTGAATATATCAGTAAAAAAGAAAAGTTTTTTAATAAAATCTCTTTGGTTGAAGAACGTTGAAAATCTCATTTTAGTGGAGTAAAAGTGCGAAGACAAATCTCATATAAAATTTGAATCTATAGTGGCAGAGCACCACAAGCTTTACCTTAATAATTTTAAAACTAAAATTTGTGAAGAATTAATAATTAATTAATAATTAATAATCAACAATTAGTAATTTTAGAATTTTAAAGAAATTTTACTATTATAATATTATTATAAAACTATATGATAACATTTACTAATAGATTTTTTCTATCAATAGGTCCACCAAAATTTGAATATCAAAGCGATGATGAAGTGTGGTTTCAAGTAAAAACTGATAATAAAACCATAAATAAATTTATATTGCGCTGTCAGGCATCGAGAAATCCTGAAACGTTGGTTTTAATTAAAATTAAAATCAATATTTTCGGTTATCGCAAAACTTTTTTTTGTATTTTTATATAAATACTTTTTTTTCTCGTTGTAATTCGTTTTATTGCTCTATTTGAGAGAAATCAAAAAATTTATCAAAAAAATTTATTAAAAAATTTATCAAAACTATCAAAAAAATTCTCCGAATTTGTTATGGATCTGTTAAAAATAATATGAAATAATATTAAACATATTACACATCTTGTTAAATTCGAAGAAGATTTCAACCAATTTGTATTGAGAAAAATCGATCTTTTCTGTCGGAATTCTTTTAAAATTTCAGTTGTTCACTGAAACAATTTACTTTAATAAGTTTAAGGATTATATGCCTTAATGAGAAGAGATTTTTTTGGATTGGACATTGGACATAATAAATTATCGGTGAACTAAATTTCAATTTAGCTTCTTTTAATCTAATTGCCAATGAGGTTTTACTGTTATTACTTATCTGTAAAAAAATTCATATCTATAAAATTCATATCCATAAAAATGACTTTTTTATTGTCAGAAATATTTTATAAAGTGGCAAAAATTTAGATTTTTTTGGTTAAAAGATGGCAAAAAACTGAAAATAGATGGTAAAAGGATTGTGTGGCAAAAACCAGCGCAGAGTGGTACAATTATATTTACCGATGCCAATTTAGATGATCAAGGATATTATCAGTGCTTTGTGTCAAATTTATTCGGAACAGCTGTTTCTAATAAAATACACGTACGTATGGGAGGTAAGGAAAAAAATTAGATTAGAATTAGAAGGTATTCTCTAAAAATTTTATTTTAGAAACCTAATTCTTAACTAAATTTTTTTTTAAGTTAAGGGAGATCAAGTGGCTTTTATGGCAATCCTAATATTAGTAATCATCCACTGAAAGTCATAAATAAATTATTTATACTGTAATCACTCCACGGAAAAAGAAATGTGAAAATGATTGCTAAAAATTTGTCGATTGCCATTTATTTTTTAAGATATATTATTTATTTATTTATTATTTATATATTAATTATTTATTTATTATTTATTAATTACCACGGTCTGATTTTATTGCAGCTTTCAAAAAATTTTATTTCAGTACTGGAGCACTTTGTTCTTCGGCCACCGAAGAAATTGATTATTGAAGAAGGTAAAAGTTTAACAATACCATGTATTGCACCGCATGGTACACCACCACCGACAGTTTTCTGGCTTTATCGAGATGCTTTGCAAACAAGTGTTATTGAAACTATTCGTCGGAATCATATCACTGTTGATGAGGAAGGCATGTTGTTTTTCGAATAATTTTGCTTCATAATAAATTTTAAAATGATTTTATAACAATATAGCATGAGGCAGATAGCCAAGAAGTTACTGCTTAAATAATCATATCCAACAACATTCGGCGACAGTCCTTAATTTAAGTAAATCTGCTATTAAAAAGTCTGGACCTATGAAAGATTATTTAATTTATCTATGTAGTATTGATAACTCACTTATATCACGCTTCTAATAGCCGGTGGAACAAGCCTAAGCCCATCGCACCGCAGAAATGGTGGATGGTGAACTTTGTTCCTTTACGTTACCTTTACATTTACCTTAAGAATAAATTGTTTTTTGGCTCATTTCTTAGCAAATCGATGAACAACATTATAGGAAGGCTTCACTTCAGTGCAGTCGAATTGCACGATGGAAGGGCAAATTTAATTTATCAGTGTGCAGTATCATCTTTAGTTCTACATGGCGAGTATCGGACTGGTGATGAATACCAGCTTATTGTAAAACCATCTTCAATTAAGTTTCTTACTAATTAAGTTACTTGCTAATATATTAATTTTGAAAAATCTTTTAAATAGCAAAATAAATTTGTGTTTTATTCAAATAAATTAAAATAAAAATTGATTGCTGTAGATCCGTCTGTTCATCCTAAATAATTCCCTGACGATGTTATGTCCTATTATTCTTATAACCAGTGAGACTTAAATCCTAATGGAAGGCAAGCATATGGGATCTTTATATTTATCTTCTTTTATATACATATTTTACATATTTTAATGGAAGTAGTTTTTATGGCATTTATTAATTTTCAGGTGCGGCTGGGGTGGCCATACACAAATTGTACTTCAGTCCAGAAAAAGTTAATATCAAAGCTGGTTCCAGGTTAAAATTAATGTGTATTTTCGGTGGAAGGTATCATTTTTCTTTGTTCTTCAATTATTTTCTTGCTTTATTCAAAGTTTTTCGAAATGAGATTTACTCAATAAGTGGTGCAAAGAGATATGCGCATTTGACTCAGCAAAAAAATTAGAGAAATATCAATAGATATGTTTAACTGGCGTATGATACAAAAAACTGTGATCGTTATGAAGACTGGAAAAGTTGCAATAAGTTTCTTGGTAAAAAATCTGTATTAAATAAAATTAAGGAAAAGTGTAAAATAAGCGAGTGCTTAGTGTGTTCAATGATTAGTTTTCTGGTTAGGATAGCGACACTAGTTGTAAGCAGGGCTGAAAATTTTTGTTGGAAAGCATTTGACTGGAAGCACAGGCGAGTCATTATCCATTATCACTGATTTTTTTGAGATTTGCTCCCATCCGGTGCTGGAACCGAATCTTTGTCTTTGAAACAAAAACAATCCTTTCATTAGTCTTTACTTTTTTCTTTCAAATTTTTTAAATATTTTTATTGTTTCTTGATTTTTATTGCCAGTTAAATGGATTATGATATTTCAAATTGTTATTTGCACTTTATCTTTATTACATTTTTTTAAATTAAGACCTATGCCGACAATTGCTTGGAGCAAATTAGATGGTGAACTGCCAAAAAAACGGATGAAAGATCTAATGTCGCCCGAATCTGATTATGGTAAATCTTTGATTATCGATAATGTACATCCAGAAGATGCTGGTACTTATGAATGTCGGTCGCAGCATTTATTCCATCAAATGCAAGTTACTGTTACGGGTGAATTTCACTTATATTGCAAGATATGCTTCTTAAATGATTTTCATTATTAACAAATTTAGCTTTATTTAGCTTGGGCTTTTCGCAGATTATAATCATTTCATATTTCTTTTAGTAGTGCTCATCATTTCAGCTGTAACTGACTCTATGGCTCAATGAGATTTCTCTTTCCGATGGATTCACACATAGAGTCACACATTTCGTGTCCACAGCACCATCTGCATTTCTCTTTTTTTTTTTAAGAACCCTCACCACTGCTGGCTAGACTTACTATGCTGGCCTGTTTCAAAACAGAGAATCCATTGACGGTAGAAATACAGGTGAGTCATTGGCATCATCCGGATTTAGAAAGATTTACTCCCACGGGGATTAAGGAGTAGAGACTTCAGCATTAGCATGGGCGTTTTAAATTGAGTAACAACTCATTGAGCCATTCTACACCCACATTTCACTTTAAGTTGGAATGATTTATTTTATTTCTTTATTTTTTCTTAGTTTGCCTTTTCCTGTTCATTACCATTTATGTTTTTTCATGCTAAATGGATGATTGATTTTTTGAAGTCTGATTCTTTTCATTATCATTTAAGTTGAATAATTTAAGCTGCTCCGTTCTGGGAATTCGGTCCGCCTGAAGACATTGATCAGCCAGAAGAAAAGACGGTGGAAATTCGTTGTTTAGCATCCGGTGCGCCAACACCAATAATTCAGTGGTTTATGAACGGAAAGCCATTACATGGTAATTATAATTATACAATTATAATTATACAATTTACTAAAGAAATAGAAATAGAAAATTAAATTCAAAAATGATAACGAATTAGATCAGAAATAACGGTTGAGAGGAGCATTAATTTTTCAAAAATATAAAGAAAAATAGAGAAATATGCTCAAAAAAATTATATATTTTATTATGACTTGAAACGTAAGAAAGTTATATGTTATCTTGTTGGACGAATTAAAACTTTCCCATAGCAAATATTTTTATTCCTCATTGATTAAATATGGAATATGGATAAACACATAATTATAAAAAATTTTATAATAAAATAACGTGTTCAAATGTGATAGAAAAAAAGAAGCATATTTCTCTCTTATTCTTATTTTACGGTTTTGCTAAGAGATTATTGAGTAAAATTTATAAATTTCGAATTTTCATGGGTTCAATATATAATAATAATACGAAAAATACAGTTTGAAATATGTAATATTCCACGCATTCATGAATTTTTGTTACGGAATTATGAGTTATAACTAAGGAAAATGTGAAAATAAAAATCAATTTTCATGTTTTTTTAAAAATTAAAATTGAAATTATGAAGAATTCAAATAAAATTTAAAGTAAATTGACAATAAATATGGCAAATTTATCAAATGCCACTATTTTTTTGATTCGAAAATCAAATTTGATTTGTTCAAAGATGTTTTTTTTAGAAATTCCTGATAATGATCGCCGATTAATATTGGACAATGGTCGAGTCCTTAGAATACATAAGCTTGATCATGATATTGATACAGGGGTTTATCAGTGTAATGCTTCGAACCCTTTCGGATATGTTTATGCAAACGCTTTTGTTAACGTTCGTGGTAAACATTTTTGTTTAACCATTAATCATGTTACATACATATTGTTCTTAATTATATTTTGAATTCGTATACTTAATTCTTAATTATATTTTGAATGGGCTGTTCCAACTGCTTAAGTAGTTTACATAAATCGTGTTCATAAATAAAAATGACATTCAGAAAAATTTTCTTGTATAGTCTGTAAGTTTAAATTAAAGTATTTTGTATCAGCATATGCACCTCGCTTCAAAATGGCTGATAAAAGGATTTGGAAGATTGTACGAAAATCAACAGTGGAAATGCCTTGTGATGTAGATGCCGCTCCAGAAGCAATCATACGATGGGTCGATGCTAATGATCAATCTATTGCTGTGATACCTGGAAAAATTCAGGTTGTTTTTATTAAAATAAATTGCTGATTACATATATACTGCAAAAAATTCATTCAAGACACTTTTGTCTTATTTATATGTTGTAGAAATTATTTGATTCATTCGATACCTTTTGGAATCCAAATTTCTGGATGAATAAATTTTATAATCTCGCATCACATATATAGAAAAATAATTGGGAACAATGTGCACAACAATAAATTGTTAAATTTATAAAATGATTGATAAATTGAATTGAAATGATTGATAAATAAAATTTAGAAGAAAAATAAAAATAAATAAAAATTAGAAGTACAAATTAAAACTTAAAATAAAGGTTGTAAAAAAACCGAAGTTAATAAATAAATTAAAAATGTTTATTATATATATTAAATATGTTTTTATTAAATATGTTTAATAAATATGTATTTTTTATCTCACATTTAATAAAAGGATAGATTTTTTGCCAAGAAAAGTTTCTTTATCCTTTTATGCGACCGACATTTTTTCTTTAATGTATTCTGTATAGTTCCAATCAGTCTAGTTTTCCGAAAACAACACTAAATTGCACTAAATTTTGGTTTAATGCCTCATATAAAACCGTGAATTTAAGCCATACGAGTAACTAATGACATAAAGCGGTGAGAATGATATGGTTTTAAAAGTAAAAAGGTTAAACAGCGTGAACTCGACCATTTACAGTTGTATAAAAATAATACTTTACGAATAATACAAGTGAATTCGGCCGATGAAGGTCTTTATTATTGCAACGTTTCAAATAAATACGGTATTAATCGAGCTTTTAATAAACTGCAGGTATTTGGTGAGTTTTCTTTTAAAAGTAAAATTAAGAATTAAGGAAGGTGAACGAAATACATGGAAATCAGTTGAAAGATAATTGTTAATAATTTAACATAAATGAATTGTATATTCTATTTTGTCTTTCTACTTTTTCTACTACCTTTTCTACTACCTTTTTCTGCTTTTACTATAAGTTTTTATTTTAGTTTCCCTGATGACACAAGCAAAAATTCTTATAATAATTATTTTAATCGCACATTTTAATGGCTTAAGCGAATATTCAAAATCTATTTAATATTGATCACATCTAACTTATTTATGAAAAATAAAAATTTAAGACCCAACGCACTTCGTTCGAGTACCAGCACCGAAAAAGTTGACAGTAAATGCTTATGAAAACATCGAGTTATTTTGTGAAGCAGTTATTGATCCAAGGCTGAATAGCGAATATAAATGGTTACACAATGGTGAAATCATAGAGGAATCGGAACATTTCAAGTTTGATTTTGCAAAAAAAATTGAAGAATTTTGGTCCTTTCTTTCTTCACTTTATACTTTTATTCTGAATAACTTTTTGCCTTAATTTATTTTCCGCAATACCCCTATTTTTAACATATGCATCGCTTCATTATATAGAGAGTTAGCGATATATCTTTACTTTTTATTATATGTTGGCTATTAAAGAATTTTGATTATCTTAATATGTTTTATTTCCTGGATGTTTAATAGGGTTTTAAATATTATTATAATTATTTTATGATCATTCTGGCTTCCATAGCATTCATCTCGAAAATATAATTTAAAATTCCAAGTAGTGTCCAATACTGAGAAATAAATTTTCCGCTCATTTTCCATCCATTTCCACTAGTTTCTTTGTTGTCTACTGATCCTACATCTTTGGGTTTGGTTCCATTCCATGCAGGATTTCATCGCCCATAATATTTTTGAGGTATTCTAGGTTCAAAAATTTCTCACTGGTGATAGAGAATGCAAGAGGTTGGCATGCCGGTGAAATAGAATGTATTGTAACAACCGATGTCGATGTAAAAACATCTGGAATGCATCTAACAGTTCAAGGAAATTGTCTTTGTTCTTCTTTCTTCTTTCATTTTTTCATTCATCACGAATAAATTTTTGAATAATTTAATTTACGTTATTAATGATAATTGAAATTATTTCTTTAAAAATCATCTAAAAATGATTTTTAGATGTACCGGCATCACCGATAGTCACCGATGTAAATTGTAATGAAAGGCGAGCCACAATCAAATGGCGTCGACCTAATGATCATGGAGATCGTATAACACAATTTGTTGTGCAAATGCATACAGATTTTGAAGAGGTTTGTCACTATTTGATTTAGAATCCATCATTTCGAAGTTATGGTTACTATTTGATTCGATTATTTGGATATTTAGTTCAATTATATCACCCAACTACTTTAAATGATTACAGGGAAAATGGGAAACAGTGCTTGAAGAATATAATGTATTTGTGGATTTTTATCAAGCTGATATAACTCTCTCTCCCTGGGTAATTTTTTTACTTCCTCTATATTTGAGACTTTGACACTAATCTCTATTTTCAATATTTTTCTTTGTTTTGCTTTTGGTAGCCATTCCTTTTTTTTCTTCTAATAGCGATTTTTGGCTTGGCCTGTTGTGCTGGCAGGATAAGATTCCTTCACCAAAGAACCATCTGGTGATAGAATTGAGAAATACAACTGCGCCACCAATATTATTATTCTTTAATCAATAAATGTAAATATATATTGATCTATTCCTATCTAGGGGCAAGGATTACAATTGATGGCCACTAATTTAAATTATAATAGGAGCAATTATGATAAGAGTAATGTTTTTTTTCTTTAGAATGGAAATATTTATTTCATATTTACAATTGAAGAGATCTTTTTTACCTATTTTTTTCATCTAATTACTGCATTATTTCCTAAAAATTTTATATTTAACTTCAGAGCTTCATCATTCACTAAAAAAAAATATAAAAAATTTAAAATTTATACTTTTCAGTGAACATCTTTAGGTAAATTATACGTTTCGCGTAATAGCGAAAAATTCACATGGAGAAGGCGAACCTGGATACAAGCCTAGGGCGATATGTAATACTAAGGAATCTTTTCCATATATGAATCCAACTCATGTAAGAGCCGAAGGCACTCAACCGGACAATTTGGTCATTTACTGGAAACCCATGGATAAATATGATTGGAATGGTCCTGATTTACAATATATCGTTCGTTATCGGCTAAATGAACAAGGTGCCAAGTGGGAAGAAGCCCGAATAGAAGACCCTTTAGCAGTAAGCCATATATTGTTTTTTAGAGGGTTAAGCTTCATAAGAAAATCTAGAAAATATATTTCCAACATTCCAGAATCACACAATAATTCGTGAACAACCGACCTTCCGTGAATATACAGTTCAAGTAGAAGCAATAAATCGAGTTGGTATTTCTATTACTGAACCAGTAAGCGTAATTGGATTTTCTGGAGAAGATGGCAAGTCATCTAAAATTTTATATCCATAAAAAGTCCATCCGTAAAAATAGTAAATGAAACCGAATCTTTTATCCTAATCTTTTAGTTCCGCTCGAATCACCAAAGGAGTTCAGGATTGTTGAATTTTATAACTTTAGCATGGCTCTTGTAGAGTGGAAACATGTCGAAAGAAGTACGGTCCGAGGACATTTTAAAGGATATTTGGTAATTAAAAATAATTTGTTTCGAAATTTTTAATGAATTAAATTGAAAACAGTTCATAACTTAATTCTTAATTTGTTTTAAATTCTTTTAATTTGGGTTATTTTACGATCTTATTAATAATGTTTTCAAAATTTTTTACTGGTGGATATCACATTTGTTTGAATAATATACTGCAACATTATCACTCATATATCTCAGTCAAAAATCAGGAATTCGCGAAAATTAGATTGGGAGTAACTGGTACTCTTAGGGAAATCTTTGGTGCACTTTTCATCGTGTATTTTGCTTATTAATTTTCTAACCAAAGGAGAATTTGAAACTCGTTTTTAGATTGAATATTGGAAAAGCGATGGTGATATGTTTTCCGAGAAGTTAAACGTTGAAAATGATAAAAATTCGGTTGTTTTAAAAAATCTTGCACCGATTTCGAATTATACAGCCAAAATTCATACAATAAATGCTCGTTACAAAAGTGAAGCACCATCAGTTATAATATTTTTGACGCCTGAAGGATGCAAGTTTTTTCCTTTTTTCTTCAAAAATGATATAAGATTAATAAAGATATACAAAAAAATTACATATAAAAATATTTAGGAAAACACGGTAAATATCAAAAATTTATGAACATAAATACATACTTTATTAATTGGAACTTATAGAAAGAGATTGATTGCAGAAACCAATTAATTTTTTTTCTTCCATGTTGATGGTCATTCATGGTATATATATTCAATTTTAAGTACCGTCAAAAGTGCACAATATGAGAGCAAGAGCTGTCGGATCAAATACCATGTTCATAACTTGGGAAAAGCCTCGACAAGCAAACGGAAATATACGCGGCTACTTCTTAACATTCGAAAGTAAAATATTTCGAAATTTTAATAAAAAAACTCTTTTCACTGATATTTTCACTGATCATTGTATATATTCTCGATCACAACGTATTTCAGATTTACATGCTGAAACTATAGAGGAAACATATGTGCTGAATCGTCAGATGTATTATTTGCATGAAGAAGCTGAGCCAGATACTGGTTATAAAATTTCTGTTTGGGCTGAAACATACGGAGGAGAAGGGCCGAAGGTAGTTCGACCTGTTAGAACATGGCCTCTTAGAGGTGTCGATTGGAGTATCAATTAAATTAAATTAATTCTTGTTCTTATCTGAAACGACTTTTAAAATATCTGCAAAATATTTCAGATCTTGATCCACCAGTGTTGAAAGTTGAAGCAACGTCACCAACTACGTTAGCCATTGAATGGATTCCATTTAACGAAAGTGAGTGGGGAATATCTGGACCAACATTTTTCGTTAATTTCACCTCTACAGGTTTTTTCTTTTATAATTCTAATGTTTGAAATTTCTAAATTTCATTTACATACTACGAAAAAAGTTCAATTTATTGTAATAATGCGATTTTATTTCATGCTTTCAGAAGAAGATATTTGGTCGCAAAGTGAACATATTAATTTACCTTTCACAGAGATAATACTGAGAAATCTTGAAGAAGATACATTGTACAGAATACGAGGTATTGCAAAAGAAAAAGAACGACAAAGTATATCGGATGAGATTAAAGTGAGAAGTTTGAGAAGAGTTACTATAACGCATCTATCACAAGGTTCGTTAATCAGTAAATTCTATGGCATAATTTCCTAGCAAAATGAGTGAAAATTTGAGTATCAAAAGAACGGTGCCCTATTGAAAAAATTTTAAATTCAAAAGTTTTTTGAATGAATTTTGGCTTCTTACATTGTCTAAAATATTTTTTACAATATTTTATAATTGCATTTTATTATATATGGGACGGGAATGGTCGAGTGATATGTTCCTTAGAAAAATTCGATTCGATCTCTGCCTAAGATTAACCTATCTTTAAAAGTCTTGCCATTAAAAGCTAAACTTATGAAGTGCAAAGAAGTATCTCTATCTCCAAATGATTTCCAACTGATGAAGGGTTCGCATTCTATTAGCCAGTAGAGTCAGCTAAACCAGAAATAACGAGTTCTATTAAGATAGAAATATTATAGGATGGATGGATTTTAATAGCGAAAATAATAAAAATCCTATGAATGCGCAGCTCTGATGGACACCAGTTCTTATTTCGAAGTAGTTCCCCATATATACAGACTTGTGCCAAGGTATACTGACAAAATACCTTTAGAATGCTCCTCTCTGGGATACTACTGTTTTCCAGAGCGCTGCTTTATCAATCGAATCGAAGGCAGATGCAAAATCGATGAAGCAGGTGACGGTGGGTTGCTGGTATTTGAAGCGATGTTTCAGCACCCTTCTTAGCATAAATATCTAGTCAGCGTTCCGGAATCCGACTTAGAACGCATTCTGCTATCTCGTGTTGCCATGAGTCTATTTAGCAGAAGAAAGCGAAAATTTTTTCAGAGCTGTCTAGAAGGCTGATTCTTCAATAATTGTCACAGTATGTCCAGTCAAATTTCTTAGAAATAGAATTGTTTTGTTCCAGTCATCTGGTATTATTCTTCCATAATAGAGAGAATATTTGTTGAAGGTGTGATATGAAGAACGACAGATAACATTTGAAGAGTTTGGCCTAAAGGCCATCTTCTCCAGCAGTTTTATTGGCCTCAAGCTTATGCATTACAGAGATTATTTCTTCTTTTGTTGGCAATTCGCAATTGTAAACGTATGGTGCTAATCAACTATTTTCGGGGCAATGGATAGCATATTGTGGTTAAGTTTGGCTTCAAAGAATCTCTTCCATCTTACGAGGTGATCCTTAATGCTCTTAAAAGGCACACCATGGCTATCCCGTACCGTTTGCTGATCATTCCCCAAATTATAGTTACTTTGTGAAGATTGCGAAATAGTTTCTTGCTGATCACTTAAGTGAGCCGCCGCTTCCATTCTCAAGACTATATCGCTCTAATAGCGGTTTCTATCTCGCCATGCTGCTGCTTTTTCGAAGTATCCGATAATCAAGATCTCCTAACATTTGCACTTTGGTAGCTATTTGGTAGGCAGTTGGATAGTTGCTTCCGACACCCAACTAGCGCATTTCCTACTGGTATATCCTAGTATGGAAGTGGCTGATATCTTTGCCGTTCCATTCCATTCTCCATTCCAGAGTTGTCACAATTTTTTTCGGAAATTAATATTAATATAATGAATATTAATTCATTTTACTGAGGTGTTTCAATACGGTTTGAAATGCATTTATTATTTCCGGATCTTTTAATTTGAGATAGTTGAAAGATCTTGTTAGATATGTTGTTTCTTACGACTTATCAATTTTATACGAATCTTGGCTCGAACCATAACATGATTTAATCCATGGCGATTGTATAGAAAAAGGACTTTTATAGCAGTACGGAATTTTCGTTGTGAGCACGGCGATCCCCCTTCTAATATTCTAGATTTACGAAAATTTCTTTTGGGAATCCGCTCCACTCTTTTTTCTTTCTTGCCACGCGGGACTTTTTAATTTCTTATTTCTTATTAATATTATAAAACTCTGTGGCCAGCGTTCCACTTCTTACTTTTCTCGTTGCGAACCTCAAACTTGGGTAAATCTTTATTAGTAATGACGCAATATAATATTTTATATATACAAGCAAATAAAGCGAAGCAATTGCCTACTATAAGGAAATAATACAGTTAAAAAAACAAATGTAAAAACTAAATGCCCATCATTCATCGACCGCTCCATCACTCGTTTCCCCTAATAAAGCAGAAAAATGACCAAAATTGATCTTTTGGGAACTTATATTTAATTTAAGATGCGCGGGAATCCGGTTGATTTGCTCAAATTTTAAGCTTTTTTCGCCTTTCGGCGACAGCGGTTACCAGTTTCAGTACCCCGATAAGAACGACTATCAAGTAAGAACCCTTCCAGCGGCAACTGAGCAATATAAAGTCAATCTGATTGGAATATTGGTTATTCGGAGAGTTCCACTTGACTTGATGTCTTATCCGATGCTGGAACCATGTATTAGTAACAAAGACCTCATGCTCTTCGGCAAAATGAAGAAGAATTCATATTCTCCAGTGGCGCACTTCATCCCGATGTCATATCTGGCAATTATTGAATTCATCGTAACAGCATTATGACCTATGCACGCATTTTAGTTTCCCTTGATGGCTATATCAAGTTGAAATTGCGCATAGAATTTAATCCTTATTGCGGTCATCTGCGCATAAAGTTGGAGCATATACATTAATAACGGAAATATTGTAGGACTTTCCTTCGAAATGCGCGTGCTCTATATGGTCATTTTCTGGTTTCCACTCAGTCAGAGCAGATCGAGCCTTTTTAGACTACCCCATTTCTCCTTGAGTTATTCGGGATACCACAGTAATAAAAGCCAATATCTTTATTCCAGGAACCAGGTTTAATAAGACGACATGAGATGGACCTCTGAAAATAAACCTTTTCCAGGCGATATTTAGAAAGAATATGACCGCTTGGTTTGCAACGTCCATAAGCGTTCTGAACAACTATAGCCAGCACCTCGCCGTGCTTACAAAGTGTTAGCGGATAGGTTCTCGTTTCTCTTGTTCGGTTCACGAGCATATCCTATATTCACGCCTTAGAATTATTTTATTATTACTATTACGCTCGGATTATATATTTATTGCATATACAACTGGACCAGAAATATCATGCGCCTCAGAAGACGTTAAAGAGATCTGATCCTTTCACCATAGAGCCACTTAGAGATAGAGATACAGGTGGGTCTCCAGCAGCCACCTTGATTTTTGACACAATGACAGGTTTACTCATGTCAAAGATAAAAAAAATTGACAAATTAAAAAATATATATTTTTATAATGCATAATTTAATTGATTTAATTTATAATTTTTATTGTTTGAAAAAAATTTAAAAGTTTAAGAAGACTTAGCTAAATTGTTATCAGAAATGCAAAATAACAAAATATCGAGAATATTTTTGAAACATTCGCTTACCAATAAAAATTTTTTAGAATTTTCAATCATTACATTACTTATTATAATTATTAAATCATTTTTATATGATACTAAAGTTTCTCCTATATTTTTGCAATTTTATTTAAAAAAATGTTATGATTTTTAAAATAGTTTATAGATAAAGCAGGACTAGTTTCAGGTAAGCACCGAAGAAATTTCCCTTACTTTTATATATAATTATAATTCTTCTCGAATGAAAATCTCGTAAATTCTTAGCATTTTAAAAAATTTAATAAATTAAAGATTAATTTAGATAAACTTTTTAAAAATTTTTAAAAAATATATATTAAATATATACGTATATATATAACCATTTAAATATTCCATTTCTTTAAATTTATGCATATAATATACAATTCGGAATAATGAAAATTCCTAAGTGGTGGATGGAAAATATTTCTCTCATAGAGAATCGATGTAAAAAAAAAAAATCCTGGCATAGAGGAATCTCGGGCGCTTTTTGATAAAATTTTATGTACATTTCTTATGGCAAATTAGAAATTCAATGATGGAATTATCACATTTAATAAGGCAATAAGTGAAAAAGAATTAAATAATCAAAACGCTTTTATGGATTTATCCCGATTTATTTAATTCATTAAGTATAACAGAGTTTCAGAGAATTTACATAGTGCTGCTTGGTTCATTGCAATTTTATGTGCACTTCTTTTGGCAATTGCTACTGCTTTAATAATGTGCTGTTGTCAGAGGAATCGGGGTAATAAATATGCAGTTCGAAAAAAGGAATTAGAAAGAGGTCATCAAATCGATGTGGAAGAGCATCAGTAAGTTGTTTTAGATTTATAAAGTTCAGTGGAGGTCAAGGGTCAATTGCATAAGGTTCAAGTCAGACATAACCATATCGGCTGAAATTTGCATAAACACAAAATTAAACGCAAAATTCACTAAGAATATGAACTAAAAAATGGTAAAAAAATAAATGGATCGTGCCCGTCACTTTAGATTTAATGATGCTATAAATGCGTTCGAAATCTAGCGTGGTGAGTTCTTCACCTTTGGAATCTCTTGAATTTTAGCGACGGGTGAGTTGTGGAACCATTTGGATTCTTTAATAAAAGGCTTAAGTACTGCCGAGCACAGGATTTCAAATTTTGGCGTTTCGAGAAGATAATATGAGCAATAACTACTCGGCTATCTTGTTTCCAAATTATTTCTGATTATTTCAGAAGCTTTATAGAACACCAATATGATTTCAAATGAATCGTTACAACCACTGAATATTTCTGTATGTATCGAATGTAAATAATTCGTAAATATAGGAAATCGAACAATAAATTTTGTATTATTTGTATTATTTCGTTTTTGGTCGGTTATTTTAACCCATTTCTAACAACCTGACAATAAATAATAAAAAAACCATATTTTACTATAGTATTCTCCTATAATGTGATTATGATTATTCTTTTTATGGTAAAATATTATTTCCAATTCGGCTGACTCTACTGACTGATTAGGATGAGACGCAAGATGGCTGCTTGCTGACAGAAATGCAGGTGGCCCACTCCCTATTTTGATTTTGTTGCTAGGTTTATTGGCGAATAGCAAAAGGCTCTAATCGACGACAGTCGAAGCAATACACCATTCGAGCAACGTGCGCTAATAATTTCCTTATAATTTTTTATTTTAATTCGCAGAAAAATTGTTTAAACTACTTGAGTATCAGGTGAAATACATA